ATCGTCGGGTCTCGATTTATTATTCATAGTGGCATTGTTTAAGATCGTCTTCTGAATATAAACAACATCTGCGCTGAAGAAATTATCAGTCCATCGTACCGCGAATAAACATGAAGTTTAAACAGCATTGTTGAAGCCAGGTTTGCTAGTCAAAGTTTCAAATTTTATTATTTTTTGTCGTATTTTCGTTATTTACTGCGTTAAATTTTGCAGAATTTGAAAATGGTGATGAAAGAATTTCACCAAATTTCAATGGTAACGTGCTGCGGGAATTGGTGATCGACAGCGAATTCGTCAAACAAGTAGCAGCTTGTTAATGCCAAATATCATCAATGAATCAAAATTCACAAATCTTCTTTTGTTTCTATGACAACATTAATGTTAATGCCATTTTCAAAGGTACTGACACTGTACCCAGACAGGTGATTATCAACAAGATTAACAGCATTATCGCAATTTCGAGATTTCACCGAACACGTAAGCAAAGTGCACCCGTTTGCAAAGCCGATATGAATCATAGAGTTCAATGCCTCCATCAATCACCTGTTTAACGAATATGGCCACACGCCATTTACCGTTGATGTCGGTTGATTAAACTTTTGAGACAATATTTAATCTTTTGAAATAATATCTGAAGATTGTTTCCATGATATCAATGAGAAAGGATGAGTACCCATAATACGGTCGCAGCATGGCGTGGAAACCAAAGTTCAATACGTGTTAATAAGCGGGGTGGTCACGGCGTTTCCAGCATTTGTTTTTAGTTTGGTGTTTTGTTTCGATTAAAGCATGCGCCCGCCGAGTTGCATTCGTAAATTTATGTTTTGCGGCGTTAGTGCGTGAACGCCGCCGCAATGGTTTGCCGCAAAGTGCCCTTTAAGTTTCGACGAATATTGATCGGCCGTTAAGTTCAGTATGATTTAGTTTGCAGATATGGGGAAAATAAACCTGCAAGATGAAGATTGATTAGACTGAAACACTTAGCCTTCGAATATGCTATACGGATATAAGTAAATCACCTTTAACATAACCGTTGCCGCTAAACATGATGTGAAACAGAGCAGCAGCCAGTTGAATTTTTATTTCACACCAGTCATTTTTTAAACATTGGTGAAGTTGTATCAGGAAGTTGAGATTGATAACAGAGTGCCGTTTCAGAGCCGATTCAGCGATTGAGTGAAAGCGTTCTTTGTTGCCGAGCGACATATGGCGCCATAAATACAATATAATGCGTAAAAAACGTTTATCGCATTAAGAATTATTTCAACATTATCTATTACGCTGCAGATATTATCGTGAAAGACACGGTTGACAAGCCAAAGATGCCAGCGTTCAGTTGCCTGCGGCCGACAGCCATATTAGTCAGGCTGATATTTTAAGACTGTCTATTAATATTTCACTTATTCATCCATATTGTCATAATACGTTTTCGATAATAAAGATGATGAAAAGGGATTGCAGTTGATCATATTTTGAAGACAGACTGAGTATTTGTTGTTTGATATTCAGCCGAATGAATATTTGAAACACGATACTAGCCTTTAAAATTGCATTGAGCGAAGTCAGTGTAAGGGTAAGATTCGTTATTGAAAAGCAACATTTACGAGACTGCCCGGATTGTTGAGTTCGAAAATTATCACGTCAAAGACCTGGGGATCAGAAGACTCGGTGTTCGATTCTCCAGTGCTGTTGGTCAGAATATCATTGTATCACTGATAATAAGGAATAATCACAGCGTCTGTTCAGTGGTTTTCTGTCGGCAGTAAGTCAGTATGAGGCCGGAGTTCAGTTTTCCATGTTATTTATTTAAAATCGCTAGTTAATGGTCGGCAGGAAGCCAGATGAGGCAGCATTTTGTTGATGTCACTGTACGAGCAGTAAAGCAATTTTAAAGTTACTTCCACCCCGTATATACATACATAGATAGAGGGTGAGATCATTCATCAGTAGCTTAAACATTTAATCATATATGCCAAATGTATTATCTATGTCACATGATCACCACTAGCATGTTCACATATTCCATACTTTCATACTGGAATCTGCAATACTACTAAAGCACACTCATCTCCTGCCATCGTTGCGACTTCTTACATTGTAATTGTCATAAAGTGCTTCTCTATTGTGTGTTTCATGTAGTGCAGCTTGCTTACATCGGCCAGATTGCAGTGGACTCTCCACATTAACTTTCACTTCGCCAGGATACCCTGTAAAATATCCTACGGTGAGGTAAAATGTCAAATAGCAACAGCTATGATCTTTAAAAGCTGATGGCTGAGATAATTGGTAACACAGTAAATGTTACAGACCCATTATGGAAATTAATGGGTTATGTGACATGCTTAATTGGGAACAGGTCATGTGATTTAGATGAAATACATTTTGGCATGCCATAAACCCATGGTCGTGGTTTTCTATACTGATGAGGTTTGTCTGCACCATATCTATCTATGTATGTATATGCAGGTGGAAGTAACTTCTTCTTTAAAATTGCTACTGGTAATTCGGGTACAGTGACACATGTAAAAAATCACTTGCCCTCATCATACTTCCACTTATACCGCCGATTTTCTTTGCTGATTTTTAAATAAGCAACATAATTACCATAGTAAAGTCAACTGACCCCGTACAGCATCACATACAACTTATTTGCCCCATGCAGAAAACCACTGGACTGGGACGCCGGGCAATGGGTTATTTCCACCCCTGATATGAGGAGGTGGGCACGAGAAATGGTCTTCACACATTGTAGCATCAGGAATCGAACCCGGCTCCTCACTGATCCTCGGTCTTGGAGCAGTGATTGAAATAATTTCAAACTCAACCAGACAGTCAAGCAGGTCACCCATAAATGTTGGCCTCTATTCTGGCCTGGAAGATGCCCGAGTTCAAGACTTTGACTCATATAATGCAATTCTTTACAAAAACAAACAAGTATCATTGTTTCGAATATGTATTCATTCAGCAAATTATAAACAACAAATACTCCAGTCACATTCCCCTGGTCATTTCAAAAGAGTCTGTTAAACTCCTGGTAACCTCCCTTCATCATCCTTATTATCAAAACGCGACATGACACTTATGGATGGATAAGAGTGAACAGTAATAGATTAAGTCTTTAAAATTATCAAATTGACAATATGGTTGGTGGAGATTTTTCAGGCAGCCCGAGACGACATTATTATCTTTGGCTTTTGTCATTGTGTCTCTTTTCTCAATATTAATATCTGTACCTTGTGTAAGATGTATTGAAATCCTGGAAATTAATGCCCAAATGCATTAAACGCTTACATTACATAACAATATTTATATAGCTACTATCCAGCTCAACTCAGCTCAAAGAACTTTTGTTTTTTCCCTCAATCACTGAATGTCAATCTGAACGGCACTTCGCATTATCAATCTCAACTCCCTCGGTAGGCAATACAACTCTGCATTAATGTTTAAAAAATGACTTAGGTTAGCAGAAATAAAAATTCAAATATCTAACCAAACAACACCTTGTTTCACATCATGGTTTATTGAGCAGCAGTTTTAACAGTTATGTTAAAGGAATTGGTTTACTTATATCAAAAATTATATATATTCAGAGGCCAAGTATTAGTCTAATCCAGTCTAAATGCACAGGTTTTGGCACCCACATATCACAAACCAAATCATACAGACACCCGCAACAGCCAATCAATATTCATCCAAGAACTTAAAGGCACTGCAGCCATTGCAAACAGCATTCACACACCAACAACACACAAAACTTTATAATTTTAATTTAATGTACTCAGCGCACGAAGGGGCAATCAAAACAAAACACCCAAACCTAAAAACAAATACTAAAGAGTACTCTGGTGATTACCCCACTCAGGTGCAAGCAATGTGTGAAGACTTTTTCTGGTCCCTGCACCATGATACCAAGCGACCATATTGCTAAGGTACACTCATCAACTCTCGGCCGCTATCATGATAATCTAGATATTGATATTTCATAGATTAAATGTATCTCAAAAGTTTTAATCTTTTGACACTGTGGCATTGTATTTGTTTTTTTATCCAGCAATTTCGCTAACTGCGGCATATTCATGCAGCAGACCCAAACAAGGTGGTTGTTCTGGAGACATTGGACTCTTATGATTCATATCAACTGCAAACAGGACACTGCGTTGCAGTGTTTCTGGTAAGAGCATTCAGAGAGGGTACCATGAAGTACTCGTTCATTTTGTTTATAATCACCTGTCTGAAGACTAAGTAACAGTGTTTGCCTTTGGAACTTAAAAACACAAAAGCATCTTTATTCATGTTGCTCATAAATAGTAAAAAAGAAGATTTTGTGGATTTTGATTCATTATTGATATTCAACATTAACAAATACTACTTGTTTATTACTAGTTAGATTCATATCAGTGTCTCCTGATTCCACAGCACATTTTACGAATTCATATAAATTTAAGTAAATTCTGCATCCCATTTTTCAAAATTCTGCAAAAAATTCTGCAGTTAAATACTTGAAAATACAACCAAAAATGATAAAGAATTTCAAACTTTTATTCTTAAACACAAAAGCTGTAAGTACTGTTTAAGAGCTTCATGACATTCACGGTACAGTGGACTGATAATTTCTTCTTGCAAGATGTTGTTTATATTTAGAAAGACGATCTTAAACAGTACCCTTATGAGTGTAATCAGGATTGACATTACAAACTGTACAAAATAAGTAAATTCTGCATCAGTAAAAATGGTAAATTTTGCATGAAAATGCGCTTTCCATGGACCAGACGCTTTTCTGCAGTAAACGGTAATTTTCGTGATTTATCCTGCAATTGCGGAATCCAGGTAGGGACTGTCATATTGGTCTCCTGCCTCATTAAGATTCCTGGGATTGGGTGGTCAGACTTGCTGACCTGACTGATGCATGTCGACGCCATTGTATCCCAATTGTTTAGAGCGATGGTCCTCTGACATCAATCACTGGATTATCTGGTTCAGACTTGATTATTTACAGACCGGTGGATCAGATTATGGGTGAAATCAACGCGCACAGTACACTGTTGATAAAGTACATTCAGAGGCAAGGGAGGTAACTGATACAAAATCCAGTTTCTACCCTCCTGCCAAATTTAGGCTGGAATTTGGGGTCTTTTTTATTGTGTCTCCCAGAGTGAGGTTTAGTTTATGCCAATTTTTGCAATATTCAAAGCAATATCACAATTTTGTATCAATAATTATTAATAATTCTACGATACCCATGAAGGTCCAGATTAGAATATTGATCATCAGTAATCCATGCTTGTCGTAAGAGGCAACTAATGGAATTGGGTGGTCAGGCTCGCTGACTTGGTTGCCACATGTCATCGGTTCCCATTTGTGCAGATGGATGCTTATGCTGTTGATCGCTGGATTGTCTGATCCAGACTTGATTATTTACAGACCGCCATATATAGCTGAATATTGCTGAGCATGCGGGCGTAAAACTAAACTCACTCACTCACTATTATCGAGCCCTAGTTAACTCCCCTTTGCCTCAGGAAGGTGATTACAGTATAGCCTACAACTTATGCCTCTATTTACAACAGGTGCAACTTATGAAACTGCCACCCTGCGGTACGCCACTGGAAAGGGGACTCATGATACAACTTTTGATGCCTCCAATAGCTACTTTGTTTTCTTCCGGGTCGGATTCCAAGTATGAGAGCAGAGGATTTCAAATGCGATATTACCAAGGGCCAAGTCAGTATCATTAAAAACAACATATTATTCTTTTGTTAATTTCAGAATGTTCCATATTGACTATCAGACATGTCCTGCTTTTTTAATTCTCAAACTCTTTATGCTGGAAATCTTGCCTTGATGAGACACACAAGGAGTAATATATTTCTGTATTTAGTTTTAATGGGTCAGTGTGATCCCATGACATTGTTCAAAGCCATTTAAACAGCATGTCGAAATATAAAAGGTGAAGATTTTGATGTCATCTTTTTCATTATAAGGAACATAACATTGAGTATATATCTTCAACAGGTGTTGGTCCTATGTTACCAGACTTTTGACAGCTTGGTAGAAGAGTTGCTCCACAAATAGGTTTTCAGAATTTAAACAAGACAAGTCATTAAGTTTTCATATGGACATATAAATATAAATATGTACTTTAATGATAAAATAGAAATATTTTCTAATGATGGTCCCTTAATATTGATAATGAACTAATCAGTAATATCGTGAAAACATGATAGCAACCATTTTAAATTGTAGACTGATGTCTGATGTCAAATATATGTTAAACTAGAGCTGGGAGCCATAGTTCCGACCCTTCAGAGGTTACCATGATTACCCGATCTTACCCAGGTACCCAACACCTGATTACCCGGTCCTACCCAGGTACCCAACACATGATCACCCGATCCTACCCAGGTGCCCAAAACCGACAATCTCGATCCTACCCAGGTACCCAACACCCAATCCCACCCAGGTACCTAACACCAGATTACCCGATCCTACACAGGTACCCAACACCTGATTACCCAATCCTACCCAGGTACTCAACACCTGATTACCCAATCCTACCCAGATACCCAACACCCAATTACCTCGATCGCACTCCAGGCACTCAACACCCAATTACCCGATCCTACCCAGATTCCCAACACCTGATTACCCGATCCTACCCAGGTACCCAACACCTGCTTGAGGTCTCAACAGTTGAGTACAAAATGTGCAATTGGGAATTGTTGTACCAGAAATAAGGAAAACCGATTTACCCAGTACATACCCTTACAGACTGATCTGGCCATGCATACATGATAGTTGACTGAAACTTTATCTTAACTCAACCGTATATAGGGTATAAAAAGAAGGAATGCATGCACAGAGAGAAATGTGAACAGCAGTGTAACTATTGAATTATTGTCATTAAACCATATATCACGGACAGGGGTCGATTTAGTGCTTTGTTACTTGCACTGGTGCAACCCAATATTACAAAGTGCAACCTAGTTATTACTATTAGTCTAACTTGCACCAGGCTAAAGTCAATTTTTTGAGTGGGTAAACTTCTGAATAAAACATCTAAATAATTCAATAGCATATTTCTGATATTACATATTGCAATACAAACAGTGCAACTGGAATTTGACTGGTGCAACTAGGTTTTTATCTTAGGTTGCACCTGGTGCAAGTAGGTTAAAATCTCTTAAATCGAGCCCCGCGCGACTAACCATAGGTTCAGGTTGTCCTGGGTTATCCTAATGATGACCCACAAAGCCTGAGTTACCCGTCCCAGCCTTATCTTAAACAATTATGTTTTATTCACATGTTGGCTTTTGCCGCCAGCACATGTGTATTTCTACAATTATATAATGCGCTCATTTGTCTTTTCTTCAGGCACTGGCCCATGTGATCGTGACCTTGTGGCTACCAGAAATGCCCAGGACCTCATATCGCCTGGTTACCCAGTGGGATATTTCCGCTACATCTTCTGCTTATGTTGTACATATATGAAACTTATATAACACTTATATATACTACACGAAAGAAGTTAAAGAACACGCAATTCTTCACTGTTGCTTTACTCTGTCTTAAGATGAAAAATTAATAGTAACATGTAAGAATCCATTAAAGACTAAAAATAGCAAAATGGAATAATCAGTGGCTGAATGATTGGTCGAGAGAAGGGTTGAGCAAGTGGATGAGCATATGGTTGCGTGAGAGGGTGAGTTTGTGGGTGAGTGATTGGTTGAGAGAGAGGTTGAGCAAGTGGATGAGCATACGGTTGCGTGAGAGGTAGGGCTGCAACGATTCGGTTCGATTCATCGAAAATTGAATCTGACACCTTTGTTTAGATTTTCGATAACCATTATCACTATTTAGATTCAAATCGTGTGTTCTTTACTGTGAATCAAGTGATTTCTTTTGAGTAGTATATCAAGATGAATGATAGTAGTCTGTAAAATTCCATGACAGATTAGCTTTAGTAAAATGAAGTAATCAGGTGCTCTGGAATTTCTCTTGAGAAGTACGCAATCCATTTTAATTCTAGGGTAGAATCATCAGTGTGTCCCTCTTTTCATATTACGCGATGTACATTGATCAGGTAGTCGAACTTGGTGACACTCAGTCGATGGTTTAGCTGGTCCACTCTGGTATATTGCTGCATGTTGTCATGGATGTTGTCTTGAATGTGACTGAACAAATTAATCTCTGAAAATTATAGAACAAACCAAACTGTTTGCCTCGGCTTTTATGAAAAGTTCTTCCACTGGACAATCTGGTTGTTCTGCAGTGAAACAAAGTGTTTTGTATCCTGTATGTCTATCACTCATGTCACGTTTGGTTCCCCTCACACAGTAACTTGACATTAACACACCATGGTACATCTGAAAAATAATTTCCTCATTATTAGGTGAGTGAGTGAGTGAGTTTGGTTTTATGCCGCTTTTAGCAATATTCCAGCAATATCACGGCAGGGGACACCAGAAATGGGCTTAACACATTGTACCTATGTGGGGAATCGAACCCAGGTCTTCGGTGTGATGAGCGAACGCTTTAACCACTAGGCTACCCCCATCACCCCCTCATTATTAGGACATCTACTCAGTTGGGATATGGACGAGGACTTTGCAGTTTTGTCATTACTTGTTTCTGTCCATTTCAGTGATATGTCCTGCGTCTACAACATCCAGGCAGCACAGTCCACTGACAGGATACAGATAGACGTAGTGGACATGCATATTGAGAACTCTGTTAGTTGTCAAGACGACAACATCACCATCATAGATCCAAGTAGGTGGACAGTGTCATACCTGATTATTATACCTGATTATTATACCTGTCTATACCTGATTATTTTAACTACCTGAAACAATGGGGATTCTATCAATACAAACATATCTTTAAATGCAGGTGAAAAAAATAAAAAAATGCTAATTGGCGTAAATGTTTATTTCACCAATATTTCATCTTTGTGCCCCATAAAAATGTAAATATGTATATGTTCTCTGTTTCTCATGTAAATATAGTTGCTGTAAATACTGGGAGAGGGCTTCATTAAGTTGGATAACTTGTGCCCAATCCTTTTCTTCAATGAATATAATATGGTTGAATAAAAAAATGTAAATAGAGGAAATTTAATACATTTAATGTACTGAGCAGGCTGGGTAACAATAGTAACACATTTATCAGATGTCTTGTGTTGAGCCTGCAAGTACACCAGCTACTTTTGCAGTAAACTACGTTTACAATAAACAAACTTATGATGAACCATGGCAATAGACCGCTGTGATATTGCTGGAATATTGCTAACAGCGGCGTTAAACCAAACTCACTCACTACAAGCTGTTGTTTTTGTGACCCTTGAAAATCCGGGTTAGAATATTGATCTTCAGTAACCTATGCTTGTCGTAAGAGGCGACTAACGGGATCGGGTGGTCAGGCTTGCTGACTTGGTTGACACATGTCATCGGTTCCCAGTTGCGCAGATCGATGCTCATGCTATTGATCACTGGATTGTCTGGTCCAGACTCGATTATTTACAGACCGCCACCATATACCTGGAGTATTGCTGAGTGTGGCGTAAAACTAAACTCACTCACTGTTGTTTTTGTCTTGGCCAATTGCTGTGTATATCCATTGGAATGCATATAGCAAACTATGGTTATAACACACTTGTTTATAAGTCCCTTTCATTTCGTTATAACCATAGTTTACTGTATCTGGAAATTGGTTTGATGAATTGTGGGCGAGTAGGGTTACAGGCGTAAAGATAACAAATTATATTGTATAGTTTCCATCAGAATTTCATTGTAGCAGTGATTGCTGTTTCTATAGACATTGGGGCAGCCTAGTGGTTAAAGCTTTCGCTCGTCACGCCGAAGACCCGGGTTTGATTCCCCACATGGGTACAATGTGTGAAGCCCATTTCTGGTGTCCCCACCGTAATATTGCTGGAATATTGCTAAAAGCAATGTAAACTAAACTCACTCACTCACTCTAGATATTGGAGTGCATGATGTGGGCACTATCTGTGGACAAATGAAACCGTCGTATCAGAGCAGTGGAAACAGGCTACAGATAAGCTTCAAATCCAACCGTATCAAGCAAACCAAAGGATTTATGATCAAGTACAAGAGTATTTTAAGTAAGTGAATTTATTCATTTTGCTAAACAATTGCTTTCATCTCATAATGCATCATTGTTTGTGTTTTTGAAATAATAATAATATTGTATGAAATAAGCCAAAACCCCAGCCAGACATCAGGGCTGGTAACTTCAAAATGTTACCAGTCCAAAATGAATTTAACCAGACCAGACACCAAGATATGGTGAATTTACTCAGATGTATGGAACATCAAAAAATATTTTTTTACCAGACCATCGGACTGGCTAGCTGTAAATTTAGTCCGTCCATCAGAAATTTATCCCGTCTCGGGCTGTCGGACGGGCCTTATTTCATACGCTGATAATAACTCATTGTCAGTGGATGTCCTTCCTTGTCACATAAACAGCTTATCTGAAGCAACACAATGGCATGGCTTATTTCTATCATACTGTCTCCACCATACCTGTTTCTTTCCCCAAGGCCCACCTTTGTATGATCCTGTACATGTTCAGGGCAAAAAAGGAAAATGATGCTTTTATACTTCTTAGGAATAGGCCCATATGCAGCATAAGAATGTTTTTTGTAAAGCCAGTGAAATAAGGTAAAACTTCCGTCCGTATCCCCCCTAAATTTTAAGGATGAGGAAAAATTTCTTTGAATGGCATTTTTAGAAGTAGAAAATGTCTTTGAGTATGTTCAGATACAATTAAAGAAACATGTTAAAACTCATCCTTATCAGATGAGGGATATGTATTCAAGTGATATGATTTGACCTGAATGAAATTTAAATGGGGTGAGCGAAGTTTTTCCTGAAATAATTGGTGTTATTGAATTTGTGTCCCTTTTGACAGCAGTGTGATTGGCAAGATTCAGGAAAGGCATGATAAATATGTGAACCTCACCTTTAAAATGTCTCACTTGCATGCCACTGTCATCAGGCTCCCTGTTGTTCTCGGAGCCCTTGGTTTTGCACTTCTTGATCTCCTGACACAGGTGAGGCGTGTGAATGGGTTCTCCACCCGGGAGCACAGCCCTTCTGACACTCTGGGTAATGCAGAAGGCTGCAGTGTTGGGGAGTCTACATATGCTAGGGAAAGTTCTTGGTGGGTACAACTATGCTGCACTTCCTAGTAGGAGTAACTATTGAGGGGAAACAACTATTGCGATAGCGACAGTCTGTTGCGACCAACTATTGCAATACTATTGCAATATTATTTTTTTCTCCTTGAATTGTCTCATTTGAAGTCATTTCCCAAATGAATGTGTAGTTTTGTATGAAATAGAAACAAGCTGAAGTAGTTTCAGTCTCTTCTAATAACTGACAAGAAACTTGAAACCTAGTTCAAGTTTGTTTAAGAGGTAACAGGGGCAGATAACTCTAAATCAAAGGGAATGAATGTGGTACTTCCTGTATTTTACACTGCTCATGTTTAATATCAACGAAAGTCAGTTACTTATCCATAGTCACACATGCTGTCGATGCATCAATAGTTTTATATTTCTTCTACCATCAGTTAACTGCTATCGGAGACTCAACAATTGCAATCCATCGATAATTTGATGCATCGTTACAGTCCTACTTCCTAGCAGAGGTCCCATTTTGGGCTGCATTTAGTTTGGTGCAACAAGGTTTTTATTCAAGGTTGCACCTTGTGCAAGTAGGTCTCATTTCCTTAAATCGAGCCCTGTATTTGTATTCCACTTAAAAAAAATATTTCCTGAAACAATGTCACTTAAATTTCTGAAGGCATTATTTGGTATGTAATCCAAATAATATCAGGGGCAGTATGACAGCCAAGTGGTCAAAGTGTTCTCTCATCATGCTCAAGACCTGGGCCTAGATTTTCTAAGCTGTCTTAGCTCTAAGATAGTCATAAGCACCAAACATTTATATTAACTTACGACTATTTTAGCTCTAAGAGAGCTTTGCAAATCTAGGCCCTGGATTTGATTTCCAGCATGTGTACAATGTGTGAAGCCCATTTCTGGGGTCCCTGCCATGATATTGCTGGACAATTGCTAAAGGCAATTACATTGACAGTTGTTGGCATTTTGATCTAGATTCTGACTGCGGAGATGAGGAGTTGATAGCGACTGATGTTGATTCCTACCTGTTGTCGCCTGGTTATCCAAATCGTTATTACAGGTAAGATGCTTCAGTCCTGTGTGAAAATTATTTACCTCTTGTCACCGCCTCTGTGGTGTAGTGGTTAGAGCGTCTGCCCGGAGAGCGGAAGGTCGCGGGTTCGATGCCCAACCGCGTCATACCAAAAGACGTTAAAATATGGTACTTGTTGGTCCCTGCCTGGCTCTCGGCATTAATGGGTACAACAAGGACTGATTGACTCGGAGTCAGTATTATGTGTCTGAGTGGGGTATTCATGCTTCACTGCGGCATGGTATCTCAGTGGGCTAGCACTATAAAACCAGCTTCAGTCTGGGCTAGTACAAGCAGCCGCATATACACATACAGACACATGCACGTCGTCATATGAGCGAAATATTCTCAAGCACGACGTTAAACCCAATTTCACCTCACTTCACCCAACTTATATTGCAATTCCTTTTAAACACCAGCAATCGATTATTCAAAACACTATTTCTCCTTGAAAACTAGGAGAAAATTCATGCAAAATAAGCAACTGCCATTAAAATATGACCCCAATCTGTATGGATTTCTTAGGGCTGGAATGGCCTAGTCAGTTCAGGCATTGCAAGTTGCTATGTAGAGTTGAATCCCTTGGTTGTGTCAGAAACCTGTTATTGTGGGTTCGAATCCCAGATTGACACGATTTTGTTTCGGGGTTTCTCATGGGTTCACCAAAGTGGTGATGTCACATGTTTTTCTCCTACATCATGCTGTCATGGAGTGAGTGAGTTTAGTTTTATGCCACACTCAGCAATATTCCAGCTATATGGCAGCGGTCTGTAAATAATCAAGTCTGGACCAGACAATCCAGTGATCAACAGCATAAGCAACAATCTCCGCTATTGGGAACCGATGACATGTGTCTACCAAGTCAGCGAGCCTGACCACCCGATACCGTTAGTCGCCTCTTACAACAAGCATGGGTTACTGAAGATCAATATTCTAACCCGGATTTTCAATATTCAAACCCGGACATGGAACTTGAATACTAGTCAAAGTAGTGTTTTAAAAACTTAACCACTGCCTTTCTTGAGATTGAATATCTTTCAGTGGGAATTTTAGGATGTTAATTTGTTCTTTTCAGCAACCTTGCATGTAGATGGACAATATCAGCTCGTGACCAAGAAAGGAAGATAGAGGTCGAGGTCATCCATGTAGAAATATCTGGCACACCTCCTACCTGTAACGAAGACAGACTTGAAGTGGATTACCTTCGTAAGTTTTGCTTCTATTTCCCTGTCCGTATATTAACAATCACAAATCTAATTTAAGTTTCAGTAGACGCTTCTCATACATCTTTGTCTTGTCTGATCAGCATGTATCAGTGCAGTAGATGATGTTTGTTTGTTTCAGCATGTGTAACAGCATCTCATGAAGTTATAACACATTTGTACGGAACCATAAAAGTTAGGGGTCATGACTTTGGAAGGACACTCTTTATAGTGAAGACTTATTATACAATGTCTTACAAATATCTCCAAAAATATTCGTGATCTCAAATTTTCATGTCCAGTAAGTGTATAACATACCCACCATATGGTTAGATGGACATGGATAGCATGCACAAACACACACACAGACAGATGGACGGACGAATGGAGGGATGGACATGACGGACATACCACCCTATTCTTTATGTAGTATGTGAGTAAAGTTGTTTTTTTTCTGTTTCATGACATGTATCTTTCTGATGACAGCTGTAAATGTTAGGGAACCAACTCGCTATACTTTTTGTCTGAATATGTATTCATTTCATGCAGATTCATCGTCACCAAACGAAGTGATTTGCGGTTCAAGCACCCCGACACAAACGTTTGTTAGCATTGATGGCACAGTGTTAATCACATTCACCTCAGACGGTGCCAATGAAGGCCAAGGTTTTGACATTCGGTATCGTCAGGTACAAGGTAGGCTTTCTCTGAACTTACACAGTGGCTGGAACTTAGGCTGGTATAGTCCTCATGTCTCTTGATGTTGGTATTACATGTTTGCATTTGTCATGTTTTGTAAAAAGATAATCCTGAAATTCCCCAAAATGTGAAATTATATGTTTCTATAATTATTGGCGTACATGTCTGTGATTAGAATGATATTGTCAAAGTGAAAGGGAAAATCTTTGCATCTTGACCATCCTGAATAGAGTGAGTGAGTGGGTGGGTGTTTTTTGAGTGTTTGTTTGGGTGGGTGGGTGGTTGTTTGAGTGAGGGAGTGAATGGGTGAGGGAGTGAGTAAGTGGGTGGGTGGTTGTTTGTGTGAGGAGCGGAGTGAGTGAATGGGTGGGTGGGTGGGTGAGTAAGTTCAAGTGGTTGGTTGTTTGAGTGAGTGAGTGAGTGAGTGAAAGTGAAAATCTTTGCATCTTGACAATCCTGAATAGAGTGAGTGAGTGGGTGGGTGTTCTTTTTGAGTGAGTGAGTTAGTGAGAGTGAGTGAGTGAGTTGGTCGGTGGGTATTGAGTGAGTCGGTGGGTGGTTCAGTGAGTGAGTGAGTGAATGGGTGGGTGAGTGAGTGAGTGGTTGTTTGAGTGAGTGAATGGGTAAGTGAGTAAGTGGGTGGGTGGTTGAGTGAGTGATTGAGTGAAAGTGAAAATCTTTGCATCTTGACCATCCTGAATAGATTGAGTGAGTGGGTGGGTGCTTTTTGAGTGAGTGAGTGAATGGGTGGGTGAGTGAGTGAGTGAATGGGTGGGTGGGTGAGTGAGTGAGTGGGTTTGTGGTTTGAGTGAGTGAGTGAATGGGTGAGTGGATGGGTAGTTGTTTGAGTGAGTGAGTGAATGGGTGAGGGAGGAGTGAATGGGTGGGTGAGGAGTTAGTGGGTGGGGTGGTTGTTTGAGTGAGTGAGAGGAATGGGTGGGCAGGTGAGGAGTGAGTGGGTGGGTGGGTGGTTGTTTGGAGTGGAGTGAATGGGTGAGTGAGTGGATGGGTGGTTGTTTGAGTGGGAGAGTGAATGGGTGGTGGTGGAGTGGGTGGGTGGTTGTTTGAGTGAGTGAGTGGGTGGGAATGGGTGGTTAAGCCAAGTGGTGGGTGGTTGAGGAGTGAGTGAGTGGGAGGGTGGGTGGGTGGTTGTTTGAGGAGTGAGTGGGTGGGTTGTTTGAGTGGGTGAGTGGAGTGGAGTAGGGTGGTGGGTGGGTGGGAGTGAGTGGAGTGGTTGTTTGAGGGAATGGAGTGGAGTGGGTGGGTGGGTGGTTGTTGAAGTGAGTGAGTGGAGGGTGGGTGTGGTTGGGTGAGTGAGTGGCGGTTGTTTGGTGAGTGGGTGGGTGGGTGAGTGGTTGAGTGAGTGGTTGAGTGAGTGAGTGAATGGGTGGGTTGGTGAGTGAGTGAGTTAGTGAATGGGTGGGTGGATGAGTGGGTGAATTAGTGGATTGGTGAGTGAGTGAGTGAGTGTGAGTGAGTGAGTGAAAGAGTGGGTGGATGGTTGTTTGAGTGAGTGAATGAGTGGGTGGGTGAGTGAGTGAGTGAGTGGGTGGTTGTTTGAGTGAGTGAAAGGGTGGGTGGGTGAGTGAGTGGATGGTTATTGAGTGAGTGAGTGAGTGATAAGTTGATTGATGAGTTTCTGTACCTAACATGACTTGGTCACCTGTGTTTGCTAAAACATGAAAGAACCACACCACTGACCTATTGTTTAAAGGGAAGTTCCTTTTTTATTATTATAGGATATTTATATAGCGCACATATCCACGCACTAGTGCATGCTCAAGGCGCTGGTATTTTTTCCCTCGATCATTGGATGTCAATCTCAACGGCACATCGCATTATCAATCTCAACTCCCTGGGGAGTATACAACTCTTTGCAGCCACTAGGCGCACTGAGTTATTGTGGCTTTCTCATCCTAACGAGGTACCCATTCACAGCTGGGTGGACTGGGACACATAGTCACAGTACTTTGTCCATGTTCACTGCACGCTGCTGTACCCGCAACTAGGTGTTTGCACGTATTCATGTGGCCACCATCTGGTCAAATACCAACGGATTCGTGGGTTCTTTTAAGTGCACAGGGTTGTGTACTGTACACTAGGGGTTGTGACAACACTGAAAGAGTCTGCACACAAAGTTGACTCCAAGGTTTTTACACCCGGTCACAGGTGGCTCGATCCCGACACCTCAACCTCGCTGGATCACTAGCCTGGCGCCTTTAGCTCGCCTAATCGCGACCTCAGCTACCACTTGCTAAATTACTAATTGCCAGTTTTTTCACACACCCACCCCATCATTTTGACATTCGGAAAATTAAAGTGTAATTAGAATTTCATGTTTACTACTTAAAATAGCCAGTACAAACAGGTAGCTGTTCTTTTTCATCAGCTCTGAAATATTTATAGGAAAGAAGTTTGGACATGATTTGCTGTTAATATGCATATTGCCATACAGATACATATTGTATCATGACCTATGTATCTTGATCCCATGAATTGGTCTTCTGTAACCCATGCTTGTAAGAGGCAACTAAAAGGATCGAGTGGTCAGGCTAGCTGACTTGGTTAACACATGACATCATATCCCAATTGTGTAGATCGATGCACATGCTGTTGATCACTGGATTGTCTGGTCCAGACACAATTATTTACAGACTGTCGCCATATAGCTGTAATATTGTGAATGCGGTGTAAAACTAAACTCACTCACTATGTATCCAGATGGTATAGTGACCTTGTCGTATCATTTCCCCCTATATGTACATGTCTTATGTTTGATAATATGCAGATAATTCTATATTGCAACTCCAGTCGACAAACCTTCTGGCTCGTGTGATAAAACATTGAGTGCAACTGAAACGGAGCAAGTTCTCACATCTCCAGGATATCCGCGTATTTCTCTCATGTAAGTCTGTTTTAGTGACTCTGGGGGTCAGATTATTATATCAACCTGTTAATGTTTGTTTGTTTGTTCAGGGCTCGATTTAGTGCTTTGTTACTTGCACTGGTGCAACCAAATATTACTAAGTGCAACCTAGTTATTTGTCTCAATTTTAAGAAATAAATCAACAATAAATCTAACATTGTAAGCATTTTTATGTCAGCTCATTTTTTATCTAAGCTTGCAGTAGCACATTTCTTTCATTACATATTGCGATAAAAGCAGTGCAACTGGAATTTGGCTGGTGCAACTAGGTTTTTATCTTAGGTTGCACCTGGTGCAAGTAGGTTAACATCTCTTAAATCGAGCCCTGATTGTTTGTTTGCCTAATACTGCTCACACCAATTCTGCTTCCACTGAGCTTACCAGAAACAATAGATGGTGGGTTTGAATTCTGGTTTTCCCCTGGTTATGTGTCTAGTTGTTGTCAGCAACAACGCTGTGCTTGCTGGTTTCACCAAATTCGTAAAGGTCTGAGACCATCTCTTTAGGCTTTACTGCAAGGTAAAGTTGACATGCTGTGTGTACATAACTGGTGTACACTGTTTATAGTGGTGTCAATGATGTAATGATACATGTATAAGAACACTTAAATATCACACTGACAATTCTCCTTATCTCCAGTCAGTGGGGTAGTCTAGTGGTTGAAGTGTTTGCACATCACACCAACAGCTGAAGTTTGATTAAAAACATTGACACAACTTTACAGACTGTTTTCTGGTGTCCCCTGCTGTGATATTGCTAAAAGTGGCATAAAATCATACCCACTCATTCTCCTTGTCTTCTTTCATCGGTCATTTCTGGTGTCCCCCGTCGTGATGTTGCTGGAATATTGCTAAAAGCGGCGTAAAACTAAAACTCAGTCAGTCAGTCTTTCATCTGTATCAGCTAAATCTATTTTCTCCTTTACAGATCACAGACCTGTTCCTTCACTATAAGAGGACCGATTGGTTACCACATCAGAGTGACCCTGAATGACCTTGACATTGAATTGGCCCGAGAATGCCGATATGACAGCTTGATGATAAAAGATGGTAGGTAATGATATGATAAAACACAAAAAAAACATAATGATTTTATCTGTGTGCAAATAAGATGCTCTTTACTCGATTGTTTTTGTAAGAAAAAACACCTTAGAGAATAACCCTTGGCATTATACGTTAGAAAAAAATTGGAAATTGAATACAGCTCTCTCTGTTGTTTCACATCCTTTCCTTGCATGAATTTGCAAGTCATTGTAAGTCATTGTATTCACTGGATGGAACCAACAGCTACTAAATAGTTGATATTTCACTCTGAAAATATTGTTATCATCCTGTAGCGAGCATACATAGTTTTGGAAGCTGAAGACATGTCCCATTGGTGGACAAATATTCATTGTAACATATGTTATATTTGGGATTACACTTTCTTAGTAAAGTACAGATTCTAGTACTTTATTGGGTTGATTCCCATCCGGGATTCGAACCCACACCCTCAGAGTCAGGCACCTAATCGCCAGCACACAAAGTCAGGTGTCTAACCCACTCAGCCAGCGCGACTTCCACAAAATGGAGGTCGGACAACTGGTAGTCTAGACTGGGGACTTTGTGTACCCCTCTGATAAGTAAATTGGCACGGCTCCCACAGCCGAAAGCTATGAATACACAATGCCATTTAGAAAGTAGTCAAATGTAACATGTTATATTTGGGATTACACTTTCTTAGTGACCACTTTCTAAATGGCATTGTGTATTCATAAATATTCATTGCTTTCGATCATATAAATGTGCAAAATTGAAATGAAGTTGTGCAGCAAGGGATTTAAAAATGTAACAAAAAATATAATATCCCAGGGACCAGTGCTATTTTGGAAGGTGTGGTGTGTACAGGATTTTACTGAATCAATCACCTGTCCTGTCTGCTTTTAAGGTACCTCGAAGCTTGATGAGTTATGGTGTGGTAGTAGGGCTGGTGAAGTTGTGAATAGTCAGAAGAACTACCTCACAGTGACCTACACTACAGACGACTCCAACAACGGGCAGGGTTTCTCCCTCAAGTACTCTGCCGTCAGAGGTAGGTTACCCTGGGAAACATGTGTTTTTGTTTGCTCTTTAATGCCAGCAACTTTCCATCTCTTTGATAGCAATATATAAATAGTCAAGTCCGGACGAGAAAATCCAATGATTGATTTTTAACTGGTTAAAGATCATGATTTTTTATAGGAGAAGGCAAGATTACAGAATACCGGATACCTATCCGCCATTTTTATTTTGATTGCGCATTTATTTTTGCGCACTTCCGTTTTGTTTCCTTAGCAATGGCACGCCATGAAGGAAGGCTGTGTTGGAGCAGCGTTCAATATTAAATATTAAATATTAAACAATATTAAAGCTAAAAAAAGGTAAGATAATGGGGGTAAAGGGGGTACCCCCCTTTATTTAAAAGCCTTACCTACCTAACCTTACCAATCAAAAAACACTTACCATCAGAGTGTTCCCACACTGTAGAGTTCCTTTTCCCAGCATGCATTTGAATAAAATTTCAACACACGATAACTTTTTACTCTGTTTACGTCAGTGAACTCTGTTAAAATCCCCAGGTTAGGTTTCCTAAACCGGCAGTAAGGTGAGGAATTCGATTTTAACCTTATTTTTTACCTTAAATTCGTATTTTTATAGGATCGCTCGCAGGCTCACGCTCTCTGTTTCTTCTATATATAGGAGCCTCACGCGCAGAATAGAATGTATATAATTAGGTATCCGGTATTCTGTAAGTGTACCTAGGAGAATTCTGACATGAATCAAACGTACAATCCAGAGCATCATGTTCAGTATTGTAACCCAAGGTCTCCCACTCAGCTGCCAGTGCAGCTAATGGAAGGGTGTTAAATCATACATGTCATGACTTCAGTTGTCTGCATGTTGCACATGATGTTTCATTCACTCTCAGTCATCAAATCCATTATATACAGCACCTCACCCATGAAGACCTGGGTCTTCAGTAACCCATGCTTGTTTTAAGAGGCGACTAACAGGATCAGGTGGTCAGGCTCGCTGACTTGTTTGACACATGTCATCATATCCCAATTGTGGAGATCGATGCCCATGCTGTTGATCACTGGATTGTCTGGTCCAGATTCGATTATTTACAGATCAGGATTATTTCAGTATGTGATAGTTCTTGTGTTTAGACTGTTCAGGAGTTAAACTCAAAAGTCTTGGTTGAAAATATATAAAAGTTTGAGCAGAGGAAAATTATTACATTTTCACCATAAAACTGTCATGGTTTAGGTTTAACAGAACACACTGTCACCTTTCACGTGTACAGGTTCCACAAGCAGAGTGCAGACAATGACGATGCCCACACGAAGCACTCCTCTCTACCTGACCTCGCCTGGATTTGAAAAACGATTCCCTCGGTACGTGCATTATGAATATATTTTACAAGGTCAAAGATGAAAATAGATTATGTATCCATTATAGCTACTGAAATGTAAAAAGCAAAATGATTATATTTGCAAGTGAAAATTAAAGTCGTTTGTAAAAGATGTAGCAATGAGTAAGGAGTCGAACCCAGCCCTTCAAAACCGACCATTGAGCACTTTAACCACGAGGCCCCCGCTATGTCTTCTATACATTTCATGCTAATCTTATTGTAAGTGTTTTATTGATCCATTTCCTTGATTTTTGTAGAGGAATCACCTACAGCTACGTCTTTACTGCCGACCCTCAACAACAAATACGGCTGCGTGTTACAGAATCGTATCTGCGTTACAACACAGCCAATGGACGTTGTCTCAGCAAAAGGGTCAGGCTGTATGATGGTAAAACCAACAAAGCATGACAATACAGGTGTTATAGAGGAATAAGACAAATGAGCATATTTAGCATTAGCAAAAGGTGACAGAATAAATTTCAAATGTATTGAACAAATTCATATCGCCTACTTCCTTTCACTTGTGGTGATGATAATATACTGAGGAAAAAAAATAAGGGATCACATGAAAACACAAGTAATGCTTTATTTTTTTCCAGGTTTTTTCACAAGTTGTGAGATACAAAGCTTGTGAAGAAACCTGGGGAAAAATTAAGGAACACTTGTGTTTTTATGTGATCCTTTATTTATTTCCGTCGGCATATGTTAACTGAATGGAATGTGTGAATATGGTTTTTGACCACTTTAGCAAAATTCCCATCATACTGGGGCAGGGATCTCTGGAAATGGGCTTCAAATATTGTACATTTTGGTATAGAACCTTGCCTTCAATGTGATAGGCCAAAACACTTTGACGTTGGCAACACCACATGCAATGTAGTATATTCCTGGGTTTGAATTCAAGATTCACCATGATTCGGTTTCTTGGTTTGTCAGCACCAGAATGAAAGAGGTAAACATCAGACACTGCCGGTGAAGGCTTTCCCCCCCCCCCCACACACACACACACACACAATAAGCTGACAGTTCGTAATATGACTGATATACTGTTAAAATTCAAACCCAACTCACTCACTTACTCTGAGGCAAACCACACCATGCAAGTTTGCAGCTTTATGATAAACTGTTTGGCTTTCAAACACACTCTATTGCTCTTTATGATGTCATTGTAGGCCCATCTTCAGAGAGTTCCGAGCTTAAGTCTATAAACACTGGGGAATACGGCTGGTGCGCCTTGGACCTCCCAGTCTTCGTCAGCAACAGCAACTACATGACCATGGTGTATCAAACAGCGTATGTCTCCGACCATGGAAGAATTGGCTTTGTGCTGATGTATGAGCACGGGAACTTCAGTGGTATGTTTAATCAGCGTCTAAATATACGTAACAAAAACAAAAGGGATCAAGAGAATTTTCGGTGGTATATTTGAAATATTGCGCTGTCTGTTGCCAGTGCACAAAACTACCACCCTGACATTTTGTTCAGCATATCTTCATTGTCCGTAAATTAAGCTGTCATGTTTATTTAGGACAATGTGAACCTATACGCAAATGTTGTTCTTAATTGAAGGCACTTAAATAAGAATCATGTAATATTTTCTTTTGCCTGGAAGGTGTGATGGCGACTAAATCATGTTTGTTTTGTTTGTTGTTTAATGCCACACTCAGCATATTCCAGCTATATGTCTGGAAATAATCGAGTCTGGACCAGACAATGCAGTGATCAATATAATGAACATCGTTCTATGCAGTTGGGATATGTTGACACTTGTCAACCAAGTCACCGACCACCCGACCTCATTTGTCACCTCTTACGACAAACATGGGTTGATGAAAACCAATTCTTATTCACTAAATCAATTATTCAAGCTATTGTCCTATTTGCAGATGTGAGGTAGGAATTTAAATGTGTGTTTGTTATGCCTAATTATAATACTCTTGATACTGAAAGACCTTATGTTCAATAGATATCTACCCGTATACGTGTGGCGGAATGTATGTTGCCGCATCACAAGAAACTGCAATCACCTCACCAAACTACCCTCGAAACTATCGCAGGCAAGTGACTGAGTGAGTGAGTTTAGTTTTACGCCGTGCTCAGCAATATTCCTGCTATATGGCAGCGGTCTGTAAATAATCGAGTCTGGACCAGACAATCCAGTGATCGACAGCATGAGCATCGATCTGTGCAACTGGGAACCGATGACATGTGTCAACCAAGTCAGCGAGCCTGACCACCCGATCCCATTAGTCGCCTCTTACGGCAGGCAGGTGACAGACATTAGGCACCATTTGGGATTTGACAATCCCAATTTGTGTGATTCCTTTGAGTAAGGACCCTCACAGGACCTGAGTCTGTAAATGCCAGAGTTTCTACAAGAATTGAAAGTGTACAAGCTGTGAGAAACTTTGAGTCTACTGTTAGTGCTAAGGATTCTCAGATGCTTCCTGGAAATATGGAACAGCTGAAAAGTCACTGTCTTTTCATTTTTTCATCCATCTACTTTTCAAAAGTAAATGAGCAAGAAATGGGTAATTTTGAATGGGAAATATCCTGAAAAGTGAAAAAACATTGATTTACATGTTTATCCTTTGTCTATATTGTAAAAGGCAAGATATTTGATCGATGACAACTTTGTTATTCTCTTATGGTGCAGCATATCAGTATAAATCTTGATACCATTTTCTTGATTGACAGCGTCATAAGGACCTGTACCCAAACACTGTATCAGTATGAGTACACAAGTTGAAATAACTGTTACATGGGTGGTGGGGTAACCTAGATGTTAAAGCAATCGCTTGTCATGCCGAAGTCCCGGGTTCGATTCCTCACAAGTGTACCATGTGTGGAGCTCAATTCTAGTGTCACCCATAGAGGATATTATATGAGTGCCCATGTCACACTGTTTACGACACGAGTGCCTAAATGTTGGTATTTCTTGAGCAAGAGCGAGGGATATACCGATATTTAGACACGGGTGTCGTGTTGAACGCAAAATCATGGAAGAAACGTGACGTCATGGCATTGTTCATGACGTCATGTCACCATGACAAAGTGATATTTTGCCCTTGGGCATCGTATGAAGAATATGAACCCCAATATTGTCGCTAGAATGCTATTCACACAGTTTTTCACTTTCGACATTTAACATTCAGGTTTGACAGCGCCATGTGCCGACATCCACATTAAGGACTAGCAGTCATATACATGTGTAAGGATAGACTGCCAGGCTTCTCACTGTTACTGTTGTAGTGGCCTACAGTGACAAATGCCTACAGTGACAAATGCCTACAGTGACAAATGCCTACAGTGACAAATGCCTACAGTGACAAATGCCTACAGTGACAAATGTCTACAGTGTAGAATAAACAAAGTAATGCTCCAGTGATTTCAAGCAGCAGTATCTTCTCCCCATTACATAAATGGAACATTCCAACAGACAAGGTGGACAAATGCCTACACAATTAAAAAATGCTGGGGGTTTTCATATATTTGTGAAATGGAACAATAATTGAATTCATATCTTTACATCTGACAGGGTCAAATATCTTTACATCATCTTATGCATATTTTGACTGGCAAAAAGTCTGAGAATTTGTTTTACTCCATTTTCACTAGTCGACCAACAGCACTGAGAAAGTCCAAGGGAGCCTTCACACCAGCTCAACATGTTTCCTTCTCAAACTTACTCAGTACAAAATCTATTGCATGCTAAACAGAAGTAATTACATTGCTTTTACATATATAGTTCCTGTTGAGAAAGATAGACAAATTGTATTGAAAACAAGCAAAAAGGATACATAAGGCACTGCTTGTGCTGATATGATCGGATAATCTCTAGGAAGTTTTCATAGTGTAAACAGGTTAAACTCATTAGGGTGGAAGTGACCACTTGTGTGCAGGGAAGCGCATCACTGCTGCTCACCTAAAACAACATACTCTGTAGCTATTATTGCCTGTAGGCATTTGTCACTGTAGGCATTAAGACTATAGCTTTTATTGTGCCAAATAAGCAAAATGCTCTAATAGGCATCGATTAGGCTCGACTGCTTTGATTTCAGCAGAAGCTTACTTCTTTACAAACTAGAGAACAGCCTGACTAAGAGAGTGAGTATGGTATTGGGCCGCTTTTAGCAGTATTCCAGCAATATCACGGTGGGGGACACCAGGAATGGGCTTCACACATTGCCATGTGGGGAACCAAACCCGGGTCTTCAACGTGACAAGTGGACGCTTTAACCATTAGGCTAGCCAATCACCCCCTGACCATTTGATACCTAATTTGGCTTGTAGCATATTCGCTAGAATATGAACTCGGCAGTTCTTGTCTCCAAGTTTTTTGTTGGCTAGATTGTAGCAAGAGTTAAATTGTTCAATGGAGGGTGGATATTCTTATGGCAGGTCACCAGATGATCCAGTGATCAACAGCATGAGCATCGACCGATATTATGTGTAATTCTAAATTATGTAATCCCATTATCACAAAACCTCAGTGATCCATTTCAATCCCTTTTTGCCTTTTGCATCAGTGATGTTGACTTTGTATATATGGAGAGATTTTATATACTTTCAGCAAAATGTTCTGCAAGTGGACTATATGGGCAGCTTCTAACACGACCCAGATCCGTCTTAGTGGCAATTTCTCCCTTGCAGGCGGCACCAGTGGTAACTGTGGTGGAGACTATCTGAACGTGTACGATGGTGCGTCTGAACCACCTTAATATTCTCCACGTATATTGTAATATGTAATGGCAGTAATAACTTCGAACTAAATTTTAAGTTCATATAAGTGTGCCAATTAACCTTAACAAACTTGTGCTAGAATTGCAAAAAGGTGTAATCTTCCCTTTCTGGGCTTTTACTGAGACATTAAGGCACAGGATAAGATTTACCTACCTACTGATTAAGCTTGCTGACATAAAGAGGACTTTTGTTGATATATGAACTTTGTATTTGTGTGATAACACAATTATCACACAAGAATCTTGGATAAATTGTAATTGAAGTCATATTCTTAGAATTATACATAATGTTGACTACTGTTTAATGTTGTGCAACACTGAGGGCTCTTGTAGCCAGGTTCCTCGGAAGGATCAAGATGGTTGTTGTGCAGTGGAATTGAAAACGAAACTAACTAAAATTGAAGTGTCGAAATATGCTATTTGGGGAACTAAACGTGACTCTCTTGATTAAACTGATGAAATAATTCAAACTATAAAAATATGGGGAACTAAACGTGAATCTTTTTCGACAATGCTAATGGGGTAAGTCATTCGTCACCTCTCACCCCTTTCCGTAAACTACAAGAAGACTCATCCCCCTCTCGATGCTTGTTATGTGCGAAAATCAACAAACTAATCAAAACGCGGCGTAAATGACCATGGTGCTTTGATAAAAATAATTCCGAGTACTTAAATCGTTTATGGCATTAGGTCATTGTTTAAAAAATCCTGATAAATATATATCGCCATATTGAAAGTACAAAGAACGTAGTTAACAGGATTTCGCTGCCTATTATGAAGTTTTTAATAAGAATCATGCAATTGATGGTGAGAGATTCAAATACACGCACGTGCGTTTGTTGACATAACAGCTCTCATGGGTCCAACAGAGTGTATTTCTGACGATCTTGCGGGCTTGTTATGGAGATTGTAAGTGCGCTTCCAACAAGTTTAGGAAATGTAATTATAAATCGCTATGAGTTTCAAAACAATATTATTATATTTGTATGTAACTTATCAACTTTAATCTCAAACATTGGGCTTATATTTCACATCTCTGGGGATATTTTAGTCTGACTATTGTTTTGGTCATTCATATTTTTTTCAGCAAATTCATTTAAAATTCAACCAGGGGTATGACAGCAAGATTACACAAATGTTCAAGATTATTTTTATCAAAGCACCGCGGTCATTTACGCTCGTTTTGATTGGTTTGATTGATTGACGCGAAGCATGGTGCGTTTACGCGATGTGTTCTAACTGTTTTGTCTCCAGACCAATGGTGTTTCATCATTTAATGAAACTATTACCTCATGTAAACATTACATATGTATTTTAGGTGCTGAGGAAAAGTCCAAGCTGTTAAGCAAGTTGTGTGGGACGAGCTCTGATACTCTACAGTCAACAGGAAACCTTCTTACTGTTGTCATGAAAACCGATGAACGTTCCACGGGGAAAGGATTTCGTTTCTTGTTATACGAAACTACAGGTACAGCTAGAAGTCATATTTGATTTGGTGCTTGATTGGGGTAGTCAGTCATAAGAAAAAAGTAGTGAAAAAAAGTAAAAACATAGGTTTTGATGTTGGGTGGTATGCATCAACTATTTACAATGTATCAGATTTATACTACTTATAGCTAGTAAAAAGAACACCCAAGCAAAGACATTTCTTCATATTACTAGTAGTCAGTATGTCATACAGTGTTCATTGAGGATTTCAACATGTTTTACAAAGTAGAAATTAAGATGACAAAACTTTATGGATCATCAACTTCTTTATTTTGACAATGGCGACGTATATAGATTCTTATACCGTTTTCAAGCATATGGTGAGGTGATTGCTGGATTAGATGTGCTTCTTCTCCAGGCGGCTGAGGGTGTTGATGGTGCAGATTGCCCCATCTCCATGTAGACGACGAATGATTTGTCTGAGTGGTATAATAATCGATACTGAAACATCTCCATTGTCAAAATAAAGAAATTGATTATCCATAAAGTTTTGTCCTCTCTATACCATCAACTTCTAGAATGCCACTCAAACAAATCAAAGTAGACATTTAATTTCAGTTGATATACAGTTTGAAGTAACATTTTTTTTCTAAAAATGAAAATACATTGTTTTCTTTAACGTTTTGTGAGTAGTATAAGCTCTTCTTGTAGATGTGTAGCAATGTCGTAAAACTGCTTCCTGACTTAATTGTAACACATGGTGCGTCTGTTTGTCCACACATGATGTGACGACAACACATGCTATATTTCTCCAGTATACATTTTCTGAGGTACACATTCTAGTAATTTGGGGTTAAGACTCACTGGAATTAAAACCCTTACAGTGATAGTGGAAAGCACACAAAGCCAATGATTAGGTGCTCGAGTGAGAGTTCATATCTCGCATGGGACTGAACTTCCACAAAGTACTAGGATCTGTACTTTACTGAGAAAGTATAATATATGTTACTTGATGAAACAGATTTTAAGAAATAGCATTCCGAGGTTATTATGTGTATAATAAATTATTCATGAAGTACAGTCAACACCACACCTTTTCAGGGTTACTCTTGTATATGTTGTATCAGACTATATTCAACTGGTTTTCAGTCATTCCATCAGTGCTTTAACACTTTCTGTTTTTCTTCTCTGAAATAACTACTTTGGGTCAAAATGAATACTTGGTACCTCCTAAGTTCATAACATCAATTTTATCATCTGTAATGATGCTTCATGTTGTCGTAATTCAGGCTTTATGTCACTGAGACTATGTTGTACAATCCTGTTTCAGATATCCTTTGGTGTGGTTCGTCCTTGACAGCACATTTTGAGGAAGTCTTACCTCACAAAAAAGATTACTCGGTAAGTGTTTATACAGTCTGGCTATAATATTAACTTTGTGTATTTAGGTAACAATGAATGTGAATGGACTGACCATAACTTTGACAATTTTTTACTATAACTTTGACAAGGATTATAAAATCTGTTGAAAGCAAGGGAGGTAACTGACGAAAGAAGTTGTGTTTTCTTACTTGCCAATCAGGGCTGGGTTTGTGAATGTTCCAATCAAAATCATGTCATGAATTTGACATCTGGTTCGTTACCATGGCAACGATATTCAAGCCATGTTCGGCAAGAATGGAAACTTGAATCCTTTAGTCAGTAAACTCCATTACCTCAGGAAGCTGTGTGTGTGGGATTCCCCACATAGGTACAGTATGTGAAGCCCTTTTCTTGTGTCCCCACCATGTTATTGCTGTAATATTGCTGAAACCCAACTCACTCACTTGGTTGATTGTGCGTCATCGTACTACATTCATGCCAATCACTTGTTTGTCTGGTCCAGATTCAGCCATTAACAGGACACCATGATCTTATTTGAGAAATGCAAATTGTAGCTAAATAACAGAAACAAAAGCCATTAACAGGACACCATGATCTCATTTGAGAAATGCAGATTGTAGCTAAATAACAGAAACAAAAGCCATTAAGGGGACACCATGATCTCATTTGAGAAATGCAGATTGTAGCTAAATAACAGAAACAAAAGCCAAAAACAGGACACCATGATCACATTTGAGAAATGCAGATTGTAGCTAAATAACAGAAACAAAAGCCAATAACAGGACACCATGATCACATTTGAGAAATGCTGATCGTAGCTAAATGATAGAAACAAAAGCCATTTATTGGACACCATGATCTCATTTGAGAAATGCAGATTGTAGCTAAATAACAGAAACAAAAGCCATTAACAGGACACCATGATCACATTTGAGAAATGCAGATTGTAGCTAAATAACAGAAACAAAATCCATTAACAGGACACCATGATCACATTTGAGAAATGCAGATTGTAGCTAAATAGCAGTCACACAAGGCATTTATGGGACACCATGATCTCATTTGAGAAATGCAGATTGTAGCTAAATAACAGAAACAACATCCATTAACAGGACACCATGATCTCATTTGAGAAATGCAGATTGTAGCTAAATAACAGAAACAAAAGCCATTAACAGGACACCATGATCACATTTGAGAAATGCAGATTGTAGCTAAATAACAGAAACAACATCCATTAACAGGACACCATGATCTCATTTGAGAAATGCAGATTGTAGCTAAATAGCAGTCACACAAGGCATTTATGGGACACCATGATCACATTTGAGAAATGCAGATTGTAGCTAAATAACAGAAACAACATCCATTAACAGGACACCATGATCTCATTTGAGAAATGCAGATTGTAGCTAAATAACAGTCACACAAGGCATTTATGGGACACCATGATCTCATTTGAGAAATGCAGATTGTAGCTAAATAACAGAAACAACAGCCATTAAGGGGACACCATGATCACATTTGAGAAATGCAGATTGTAGCTAAATAACAGAAACAACATCCATTAACAGGACACCATGATCTCATTTGAGAAATGCAGATTGTAGCTAAATAGTCACACAAGGCATTTATGGGACACCATGATCTCATTAGAAAAATGCAGATTGTAGCTAAACAGAAACAAAACCTTTCTTTGGCAGTTCCTGTTGCTTAAGAGTTGGACTCAGATGTTAGACTACGAACCCGTAAAGAATTGTCAATGGAAAGTATATTATGTGAAGACCGGACTTATTGTGCCATGCTTGGATAAGACTTTAGTAATTGCTGAAAGGGACATGAAACAAAACTCACTCAGTTTTGCATGTCTTGGATGAAGCACCTTCTTATATATGATAAATATTCCTGATTTTTCTTTTACAGGAACGCTTCATGTAAATGGGTGTTGACAAAAGAAACAAACGATACCTACATCCAACTCTATTTGGTAGATTTTGAACTGGGGAGACGAAACGGCGACACTTGTGGCACAGATTATGTAGAAATATTTGATGGTAATTAAGTATAGCTTTACATCTTATCAACAGCTCACCTGCCCTTTTTTATCATATTTTATCCCCATAGGATATGGACTCCAGTTAAGGTGAGTAAAATGTTATTGTTATGATGTGTTGGACTCAAAACATTTTATCGTGGTTTTACTTGACAAGTGGTTTGTGTAAAATAGAGCAAATCAGTGAAGTCAGGTAATTAGCAACATAATGATGTTGTTTGTATTTAATGATCAAAAGATTTACACAACTTCGGTAATACTTTTTTATTGATCTATAGATTTAAACAGCCTCAGCAACATTTTGCATTGTGCATGTTTATAAGCATCAATGGAGGCACAAGTGGCTCAGTCTTCTAACACACTGCCATTTGCTGTGCAGAGTTGTGTCGCTTGACACACCAGGAACCTGTGATTGTGGGATCAAATCCTGTTTCACCATGGGTTTGTTTTTAGGTTTGTCAGCACCAGAGTGAGTGAGTGAGTTTAGTTTTACGCCACACTCAGCTATATTCCAGCTATATGGCGGCGGTCTGTAAATAATTGAGTCTGGACCAGGCAATCCAGGGATCAACAGCATGAGCATCGATCTACACAACTGGGATACGATGACATGTGTCAACCCAGTCAGTGAGCCTGACCACTCAATCCTGTTAGTCGCCTCTTAAGACAAGAATGGGTTGCTGAAGATCAATTCTAACCCGGACCTTCATGGGTCCAGCACCAGATCTGTGCCACTTGGTTTCACCAAAGTGGTGAACATTTAGGACCTGCATCCTGTCAGGCCTGCTTCCCACATCGAGCATTCGTAACTACTTGCCTCTTTCCATAACCTACAAGACCTGTACCTGTGTAGTACGCCATTATTGCCAAGAATCGTGGCAAAACAATCAAATTCTTAAAAATAGTAAAAATGTGGAATGAGATCAAATACATGTATTTTCTTTGTGATTATCTATTTTCATTATTGTTTCCGTCATGATAAAATTATCTTGTTACTGATATTTGTTAACAACATAAGAAACTTACTTAGAGTGACTTCGTGTTGTACTATAAATTAACATTTGTAACTACTCTCCTCTTTCCGTTTTCTTGTTGTTTTCAAGGAGTAACCATGTTTGGAAATTCTGAATTACCTTTCCTTGGAAATAGTACTAGACTATTTTCATCTCTGTGCCTGTTTGAGCTTAGACAGGGCCCCGTCGTGAACATAGCCACAAGAGGAGTATGAGTCGCCATCCAGATTGCCGGAATGACACGAGTAGTTACAAATGCCACATCATATATACTGTTAAAAGCTGCTTTAAACCAAACTCACACACAAATATTTTAAAGTAGTGACAGCCATTATCTTTCCTGCACTTATGACTCCTCTACATAAGTGAGTGAGTGAGTTTAGTTTTACGCCGCTTTTAGCAATATTCCAGCAATATCACGGCGGGGGACACCAGAAATGGGCTTCACACATTGTACCCACGTGTCCTCTACATAAGGGGTGGTGGAGTAGACTAGTGGTTAACGCGTTCGCTCGTCAAGCAGAAGACCCAGGTTCGATTCCCAACATGGGTACAATGTGTGAAGATAATTTCTGGTGTCCCCTGTCATGATATTGCTGGAATATTGCTAGAAGCTGCGTAAAACCATGCTCACTCACTCACTTACTTATCTGCATAAATGCCATTAACAAAACTATTAATAAATATTTATACTATTCAACCTTTCATAGGGATAATCTGATATCACTCTATATGCGTTATATTATGAAAATCAGTTTTGTGTGTCTTGGGAGATCAAAGTATCCCTATCAAATATGGTGTAGTATAGTACTGTGGTGATGTTGTGGTGTTATTTATTACTTATTTTGCATGCAGGTAATTCTGAAGACAGTAAGCGTATTGCTTTACTGTGTGGGTACAAGTCAGCAGCCAGCTATATTGGAACCGGTAGTCACATGATGGTGAAGATGGTGACAGGGGCGTCACCTAGAGGAAAGCTCTTCAAAATAGAATACAGCTCATGTAAGTCTATCCCCTGGCTAATACTTAATTAGCTGTTGTTGAACTCTTAATTAGAGACCTCTGATGATAGGACATACTGTCAGAGCGACAGCTAACAACTGAAATGTTTGAAATTATTCTGAATATTCACATGACATTCAAAATTATGAAAACATGCATGATGTTTCTTTTTACCAGCATTGTAATTACACTGATTAACCTGGGTGCTGTTGTACAAAACAACCTTAACGCTAAGACTACCTTATGTCTATGTTAAGGTATGGGAGTTATGGTCACCTTAGCGCTAAGGCTACCTTATGTCTATGTTAAGCTATGGGAGTTATGGTCACCTTAGCGCTAAGGCTACCTTATGTCTATGTTAAGGTATGGGAGTTACGGTCATCTTAGGGCTAAGGCTACCGTATGTCTATGTTAAGCTATGGGAGTTATGGTCACCTTAGCGATAAGGCTACCTTATGTCTATGTTAAGCTATGGGAGTTATGGCCACCTTAGTGCTAAGACTACCTTATGTCTATGTTAAGCTATGGGAGTTATGGTCACCTTAGCGCTAAGGCTACCTTATGTCTATGTTAAGCTATGGGAGTTATGGTCACCTTAACGCTAAGGCTACCTTATGTCTATGTTAAGCTATGGGAGTTACGGTCACCTTAGCGCTAAGGCTACCTTATGTCTATGTTAAGCTATGGGAGTTATGGTCATCTCAGCGATAAGGCTACCTTATGTCTATGTTAAGCTATGGGAGTTACGGTCACCTTAGCGCTAAGGCTACCTTATGTCTATGTTAAGGTATGGGAGTTACAGTCACCTTAACGCTATGACTACCTTAAGTCTATCTTAAGGTATGGGAGTTACGGTCACCTTAGCTCTATGACTACCTTATGTCTATGTTAAGGTATGGGAGTTACAGTCACCTTAGCGATAAGGCTACCTTATGTCTATGTTAAGGTATGGGAGTTACAGTCACCTTAGCGCTATGACTACCTTAAGTCTATGTTAAGGTATGGGAGTTATGGTCACCTTAGCGCTAAGGCTACCTTATGTCTATGTTAAGGTATGGGAGTTACGGTCACCTTATGTCTATGTTAAGGTATGGGAGTTATGGTCACCTTAGCGCTAAGGCTACCTTATGTCTATGTTAAGGTATGGGAGTTATGGTCATCTTAGCTCTAAGATCGCTTTGTACAATGGCACCCAGGACAATATGTTATATTAATAACATACATTTCTGGAGGCATAGAATATTCCAAATTGTGAGCGACAATGGCTGATATGTTTTGGCAATCATTATATGTGTTTGTTTGTTGTTTAATGCTGCACTCAGCAATATTCCAGCTATGTGATGGAGGTTTGTAAATAATCGAGTCTGGACCAGACAATCCGGTGATCAACATGATGAGCATCGATGTACGCAATTGGGATATGATGACATGCATCAGCCATGTCGACCAACCGATCCTCTCACAATACATGCATCAGCCATGTCGACCAACCGATCCTCTCACTATACATGCATCAGCCATGTTGACCAACCGATCCTCTCACAATATTGTTGTGTAAATACATGCACCTACTCAGCATGTTGGGATCCAAGTATAACTGGCAGTTTCACTGTACTGAGAAACGTATTTACTGAATCAATACTTGCCAGGAGCATGTAGACTGAGCCATACAAATGTGATGGTGTACAAAAACAGGGTATAATAATAATAATTTGAAGTCTTATAATGCGCTGATCTCCATGCAACAAAGCATGCTCAAAGTGCTAACACCCTGATTATTATTACCCCAGATAACCCAAGCTGCCTGTTAGGTGCGAGAAGGTTATAGTCACATGACTTTATCCAACCGGGTACCCATATTCTGCTGGGTGAACAAAGGCAATTTTGAACAAACTCACTTGCCTGAGGTGAGACCACATGTATCACATGTGCTTCATTGTGGGGCAGGATGGAAGTCCTAGAAACTCTCAGGAGTCAAGCTGTCAAACACGGTCACCCATCCAAGGACTGTCCGAGCTCGCCCGCTGCTTAACTTCAACTGATTCGTGACCTGCGCTCTGTGCACAGCAGTGTATCAAGCAGTGTGCAAAATAGTTTCCGAATTTTGCTAGCCAGTTGGGCTAGCTATGCCTGAAAGTTACTAGCCCACAAAATAATTCACTAGCTCGACATGTGAATGTAGACATGGGTTTTATCACTAAGCTGCTAATATGCTGAACATTTTTATAACTTAACACATCTGAGAAAGTGATATAATTACTAAACGAACCCATGAAAATTCATTAGCCAGTTGGGTCAGTGACTGTGGAGATTTACTAGCCTGACTGGAATTTTACTAGCGATGGGCTAGTTGGCCAGTGGCTATTTCACACACTGGTATCAAGTGGTCATGCCATGGAAAAAAACAGTGTCCAGGTTTAAATCCCAGTTTCTCTCTGATAAGTTTTTTTGTGATATAACTCACATACTCACTCACTCACTCATATCTTTTGTTAGTCTGTCTCACAGTCCCTGAACCACATTATTTTCCCTACTGCCAAGCCCTGCCTGCAATGCAAAAGCCCTACAAGAAGCAAGGCTAGATTTCCACTGGCCCATCCCACTAGGGTCCATTTTCAATTTAGGGGCGGTGGGGTAGCCTAATGGTTAAAGCGTTGGCTCGTCACGCCGATGATCCGGGTTCGAATCCCCACATGGGCACAATGTGTGAAGCCCATTTCTGGTGTCCCTTGCCGTGATGTTGTTGGAATATTGCTAAAAGCGGCATAAAAACTAAACTCAGTCAGTCAGTCATTTTCAATTTAAATGGGTTTATTTGTTTCTATCAAAGATAGATATATGCAGATACTAATCTTTTGTGTGTACCAATACATTTACGTTCTTGATCTTGTATCTATGATTTTAGCGTCCGAAGAAAGATGTACCCCAAAAGATCGCATGGCGAAGGAACACCCATCTTCCCTCCTCTCACCCTCATACCCAAGTCAATATGCACCGTAGGTATACCAGATAAATGGTTGGATTAAAGCACTACACTCGATAATAGAACTTCATGCCAGCCGTATGACGACCACCTGGGAATTATTAGACCAAGTCTGTGTAAACAAACAAAACAGGAACGTGCACATTCTTTTGTGATAAGGGGTGGTGGGGTAGCCTAATGGTGAAAGCGTTGGCTCGTCACGCCGAAGACCCGGGTTCAAATCCCCACATGGGTACAATGTGTGAAGCCCATATGATGTTGCTGGAATATTGCTAAAAGCGGCGTAAAACCAAACTCAGTCAGTCTTTTGTGATAAGTTTATATTACTCACCTGTTGAAGCTATTACAATTGTTATTACAATCTACGATGTTATTACACAACTATTTGCACTGAGTCACATGACAGAGTATACTTAAGACCCAGTTGTGCGGGTATAATGCAGTCATAGAATTCTTAGGAAAGACGTTTCAACTGTTCTTTGCTCGGCTGCATGTAATAGCATTTATATAAAAAAATAATGTTGATTGAAGTCATATGGTCCCTTTTTCATACCCTTTGTTTAATTTTAAGAAATCAGATTAAATAGACTAATGTAGAAAATCATAAATGAAACGTATTCACACGCGTGACCCCAGTTATGATGGCGTAATCCACTCGTTCTGTAAGTTGAATTCTGGGATATTATTTTGCTAATGTTGGGTCAGTAATAAATAGAATACTAAACGACATCCCTTGTAATACCATATTTATGAAACAAGTGAATGGTATTGGTATCTAACTCACTTTCACTCATTAGATACCAAACCAGTCACTCGTTTCATAAATCTGGTATTGTATTGGACATTGTTTAGTATTCTCTATGTATCTAACTTGTGTGCGTGCGTGTGTGCAATTGTGCCTTTGTCTCTTGTTTACATTAGCATGTAGCAAATATTCCAGTCGTGTGACAGGTGCCTATTAAGCCTTTTCATATTTTTGTATGTTTCTCGTCTTAAAGCTAACCCTCATACCAAACCACGTTAAAATATGGTACTTGCTGGTCCATGCCTGGTACTCTGCATTAATGGGTACAACAAGGACTGGTCGGCTCGGAGTCAGTATAATGTGTCTAAGTGGGGTATTCATGCTTCACTGTGGCATGGTATCTCAGTGGGCTAGCACTATAAAACCAGCTTAAGTCTGGGCTAGTACAAGCAGCCACACATACACATACATGCACGTCGTCAAATGAGTGAAATAATCTTAAGTGCAACGTTAAACCCCATTTCACCTCACCTCAAACCTCGACCAGAAGGAGGATGGGTAGGATGTGAGATGGGAAACACGTGAAAAATACATAGTTGAATGTCTTGGCCAAAGAATCATCTTACGACATGTGTACATTGCTAGGGCGCAATTCCAGGGAACTTGTGTTTATCAGAATATAGACTAACAGAGGCAGCCACTTGAAATAGTATGGTTCTCTCAATAAAAACATTTAAAATTTTACTTGATTGAAATGACATTGCTTAACTGGATTGATGTAATATTTTACTCCACTACTACTCTCACGGTGTCTTATGTAGACTTATGGCTTTGAAATTTTGACTAGTAGGAAAACCATTGTGTTCTGGGAAAGCACACTGTATAAATACACTTCATCAACTCATGTTTTGTTTGTTAGGCTAGAAACCAATTTTACAATATTGTGTTTGGAATGTTTGCAAGTTAATTCCTTGGTTTGTGTTCTGCAGGAGTCTTCACTGCACATGGCTCATCGACAGTGGCAGCGAGAACCATGTCGTTATGTTTAAGGTCGTTCTAGCAAGTATCGTTTACTCCGACGGGTGCACGGATGACTATCTAGCTGCCTATGATGGTGGGTGTCACATATAAATGTGCATTGACTGTTATCATGATTATTCTGCCCTTCTGCCTGAGTTGGACTTTTCAAATTTTATTATCAAGTAACACCCAAATTCAAGTAAGAACACTCCTTTTTTTATAAAATTCATGAATATCTGGGTTTAGTAATAGCAAATAATGATTGGAATATATGAAGGTTATGGTTCAATTAACTGAACACGCAAGTGAATCAAAACAGCCCAAGTCGCTATGCAACTGAATCATAACAGCCCAAGTCACTATGCAACTGAATCATAACAAGCCTGGTTGCTATGCAAGTGAATCAAAACAATGCAAGTTATCATAACAGCCCTATCGGCTATGCAAGTTAATCATAACAGCCCAAGTCACTATGCAACTGAATCATAACAAGCCTGGTTGCTATGCAAGTGAATCAAAACAGCTCAAGTCGCTATGCAAGTTAATCATAACAGCCCAAGTCGCTATGCAAGTTAATCATAACAGCCCAAGTCGCTATGCAAGTTAATCATAACAGCCCTCATTAAGCTATGCAAGTTAATCATAACAGCCCTCAATGCAAGTTAATCATAACAGCTCTCGCCGCTAGTTAATCATAGCAGCCCTCATCGCTATGCAAGTTAATCATAACAGCCCTCATGGCTATGCAAGTTAATCATAACAGCCCTCGCTGGTATGTTAATCATAACAGCCCTCGTCGCTATGCAAGTTAATCATAACAGCCCAAGTCATTAACAGCTATGCAAGTTAATCATAACAGCCCTCATCGCTATGCAAGTTAATCATAACAGCCCTCATCGCTATGCAAGTTAGTCATAACAGCCCTCGCCGCTATCATAACAGCCCTGGAAATTAAGCTATGCAAGTTAATCATAACAGCCCTCGCCAAATATGTCGCTTATGCAAGTTAATCATAACGCAGCCCTCTATCAGCTATGCAGAGTTAATCATAACAGCCCTGGAATTTAAGCTATGCAAGTTAATCATAACAGCCCTCGTTAAGCTATGCAAGTTAATCATAACAGCCCTCATTAAGCTATGCAAGTTAATCATAACAGCCCTCATCGCTATGCACAGTTAATCATAACAGCCCTCATCGCTATGCAGAGTTAATCATAACAGCCCTCTCGCTATGCAAGTTAATCATAACAGCCCTCATTAAGCTATGCAAGTTAATCATAACAGCCCTCGTCCGCTATGCAAGTTAATCGTAATGTGCCCAAATTAAGCTATGCAAGTTAATCATAACAGCCCTCATCGCTATGCAAGTTAATCATAACAGCCCTCATCGCTATGCAGAGTTAATCATAACTAGCCCTCGAGTAAATGCAAGCCCTCATCGCTATGCAAGTTAATCATAACAGCCCTCATGCGGCTATGCAAGTTAATCATAACAGCCCTGGTTAAGCTATGCAAGTTAATCATAACAGCCCTCATCGCTATGCAAGTTAATCATAACAGCCCTATGCAAGTTAATCATAACAGCCCTCATGCAGCTATGCAAGTTAATCATAACAGCCTCCCCTCATCGCTATGCAAGTTAATCCCCTAACAGCCCTGCCGCTATGCAGCCATAACAGCCCTCGCCGCTATGCAAGTTAATCGTAACAGCCCAAGCCGCTATGCAAGTTAATCATAACAGCCCTAATCAATGCAAGTTAATCATAACAGCCCAACCTATGCATGTTAATCGTTAATCAAAATGGTATGTCCGGACCTATGTACAATCTGTATCTCGACTTGTGTTTGTAATATAGTTTATTTAGTTTTAGTAATGGATTTAGTTGTAGTAATCGCATATCAATAAACTGTTGCAGTGGAAATAGCAAGATCATGCGAAATGCTTCTTTTCAGTTTGATGGATTCTTGTTGTATTGGTGCAACATCATATTGCTGGCCTGTTGTGGCCCTGTGGTGTGTCAGTGCAAGGCTATCACATATAATGGTTCTATTGTCTTGCTGCTAGCACCTGGTAACTAAGTGAGGGAAGTCAAGGACTGTAGTACAGCGCACATTCATTTGCAGATCCAGGTGTGCGTACGTGCGTGCGTGTGTGAAAGTTTATTTAAAACTGTCATGAAAATGGGTGAAAATAAACTGTGCACGCCCTCTTTCTCAAAAAGATGTATCCGCCTTTGCTTATTCTCTTCTCAGGCATGTCTGAGACAACAGGTGTCCAGTTGGGTAAATGGTGTCAGGACATCGACCAGTCAGAAACAATACACTCCAGCCACCAATACCTGACAATTGTCTTCCACACTAACGAGGATCAGTCAGGTGATGGCTTCAGGCTGAAGTACTGGACAGATGCCAGACATGATGAACAAGGTACTTACTCAACGCATACACAAACATAACATGCCACAGAATTTAAATCCAATTACTTGTGACAAGATGATTGACATGTGACATGATTCTACTTCTAAATGTTTGTTGCTGGAATTAATACTCTTGGGTAAACAAAATAAAGCGTGGGGGGTATATTTGGTATGAAAGATATTTAATCCATTGCAAATGATGATGCAGGATAAGGACTTTAACGGCATCTAGATTTGGAGATTTCAGAAATGAGAATACATGTAGCAAACCCTGTGAAGATTATCAGATGTATTCATATGTTTCGTCTTTAAAACCCATTCCACTACTCCTCCTAATAAGACCGCCTCCGTGGTGTAGTGGTTAGAGCGTCCGCCCGGAGAGCGGAAGGTCGCGGGTTCGATCCCCGACCGTGTCATACCATAAGACGTTAAAATATGGTACTTGTTGGTCCCTGCCTGGCTCTCGGCATTAATGGGTACAACAAGGACTGGTCGCCTCGGAGTCAGTATAATATGTCTGAGTGGGGTATTCATGCTTCTCAATGGTATCTCAGTAGGCTAGCACTATAAAACCAGCTTAAGTCTGGGCTAGTACAAGCAGCCGCACATACACATACACACGCATGCACGTCGTCATATGAGCGAAATATTCTCAAGTACGACGTAAAACCAAATTTTCACCTCACCTCACTCCTCCTAATATCATTGCACAGTTTCAGGTCAGACTGGAGCCCTCGGGAATGTAGGAGCTGTTGTTGGTGCCGTAGTAGGAGTCCTCGTACTGTTGGTTGTCATCATCATCATCATATTCTGTATCATCAGGAGACCTCTGTCAAAAGGTTCTGGGGGTTCTTCTGGGGGAAGTCAAGCCGCTCCTGTAGTGGTTTATCAGCCAAAGGAGCAAGTTATGTATGAAAGACCACCTGACTACCCTCCTCAGTATGACCCACAACAAGGGTCAAAGTACAAAGTTCAAGGACATGGATATCCCCAGACTGGACCTGTTCAGGATCATGAAGTTTCACAGTTACTACATGTTAAGGAACATGTTTAATCTTGTTCTTGAGCTTTTCAAGTGAAGACCTATTCAAGAAATATGTATTCTTTCCCAGGGCCTCTCAAAAGGAATGAATATTCCAGCCAGTGCTTGTACATGATTATGCATGTTCTCAGGACAGTTCCAAGTGCATTATCTCAGTCAGTATCTATTGAAGAAAATAAAATATGTCAGCCAGGGCCTAATATGAATACTCTCTTGACATAGCATCTTGAATGGGACGAATATTCCCAGCCAGGGCATGTTGAGAGTGATGAACATTCCTAATCAGACCCTGTGCAGAGGGATGAAGATTCCAGACCAGGGCCTGTCCATGGGGATGAATATTCCCATCCAGGGCCGGTCCATGGGGATGAATATTCCCATCCAGGGTCTGTCCAGAGGGATGAATATTCTCAGCCAGAGCCGGTCCAGAGGGATGAATATTCCCATCCAGGGCCGGTCCAGAGGGATGAATATTCTCAGCCAGAGCCGGTCCAGAGGGATGAATATTCTCAGCCAGAGCCGGTCCAGAGGGATGAATATTCTCAGCCAGGGCCGGTCCAGAGGGATGAATATTCTCAGCCAGAGCCGGTCCAGAGGGATGAATATTCTCAGCCAGAGCCGGTCCAGAGGGATGAATATTCTCAGCCAGAGCCGGTCCAGAGGGATGAATATTCCCATCCAGGGCCGGTCCATGGGGATGAATATTCCCATCCAGGGTCTGTCCAGAGGGATGAATATTCTCAGCCAGAGCCTGTCCAGAGGGATGAATATTCCCATCCAGGGCCGGTCCATGGGGATGAATATTCCCATCCAGGGTCTGTCCAGAGGGATGAATATTCTCAGCCAGAGCCGGTCCAGAGGGATGAATATTCCCATCCAGGGCCGGTCAATGGGGATGAATATTCCCAGTCAGGGTCTGTCCAGAGGGATGAATATTCTCAGCCAGAGCCGGTCCAGAGGGATGAATATTCCCATCCAGGGCCGGTCCAGAGGGATGAATATTCTCAGCCAGAGCCGGTCCAGAGGGATGAATATTCCCAGTCTGGGGTCGGTCCAGAGGGATGAATATTCTCAGCCAGAGCCGGTCCAGAGGGATGAATATTCCCAGTCAGAGCCGGTCCAGAGGGATGAATATTCTCAGCCAGAGCCGGTCCAGAGGGATGAATATTCTCAGCCAGAGCCGGTCCAGAGGGATGAATATTCTCAGCCAGGGCCGGTCCAGAGGGATGAATATTCCCATCCAGGGCCGGTCCAGAGGGATGAATATTCCCAGTCAGAGCCGGTCCAGAGGGATGAATATTCCCAGTCAGAGCCGGTCCAGAGGGATGAATATTCCCAGTCAGAGCCGGTCCAGAGGGATGAATATTCTCAGCCAGAGCCGGTCCAGAGGGATGAATATTCCCAGCCAGGGTCTGTCCAGAGGGATGAATATTCCCAGTCAGAGCCGGGTCCAGAGGGATGAATATTCCCAGTCAGGGTCTGTCCAGAGGGATGAATATTCCCATCCAGGGCCGGTCCAGAGGGATGAATATTCTCAGCCAGAGCCGGTCCAGAGGGATGAATATTCTCAGCCAGGGCCGGTCCAGAGGGATGAATATTCTCAGCCAGAGCCGGTCCAGAGGGATGAATATTCTCAGCCAGGGCCGGTCCAGAGGGATGAATATTCCCAGTCTGGGTCTGTCCAGAGGGATGAATATTCCCAGTCAGAGCCGGTCCAGAGGGATGAATATTCCCAGTCAGGGTCGGTCCAGAGGGATGAATATTCTCAGCCAGAGCCGTCCAGAGGGATGAATATTCTCAGCCAGAGCCGGTCCAGAGGGATGAATATTCCCAGTCAGGGTCTGTCCAGAGGGATGAATATTCCCAGTCTGGGTCTGTCCAGAGGGATGAATATTCCCAGTCTGGGTCTGTCCAGAGGGATGAATATTCCCAGTCAGAGCCGGTCCAGAGGGATGAATATTCTCAGCCAGAGCCGGTCCAGAGGGATGAATATTCTCAGCCAGAGCCGGTCCAGAGGGATGAATATTCCCAGTCTGAGGTCTGTCCAGAGGATGAATATTCCCAGTCAGAGCCTGTCCAGAGGATGAATATTCCCAGTCAGAGCCGGTCCAGAGGGATGAATATTCCCAGTCAGAGCCGTCCAGAGGGATGAATATTCTCAGTCAGAGCCGGTCCAGAGGGATGAATATTCTCAGTCAGAGCCGGTCCAGAGGGATGAATATTCCCAGCCAGAGCCGGTCCAGAGGGATGAATATTCCCAGTCAGAGCCGGTCCAGAGGGATGAATATTCCCAGCCAGGGCCGGTCCAGAGGGATGAATATTCCCAGTCAGAGCCGGTCCAGAGGGATGAATATTCCCAGTCTGGGTCTGTCCAGAGGGATGAATATTCTCAGCCAGAGCCGGTCCAGAGGGATGAATATTCTCAGCCAGAGCCGGTCCAGAGGGATGAATATTCCCAGTCAGAGCCGGTCCAGAGGGATGAATATTCCCAGTCTGGAGTCTGTCCAGAGGGATGAATATTCTCAGCCAGAGCCGGTCCAGAGGGATGAATATTCCCAGTCAGGGTCTGTCCAGAGGGATGAATATTCCCAGTCAGGGTCTGTCCAGAGGGATGAATATTCCCAGTCAGGGCTGTCCAGAGGGATGAATATTCTCAGTCAGAGCCGGTCCAGAGGGATGAATATTCCCAGTCAGAGCCGGTCCAGAGGGATGAATATTCTCAGCCAGAGCCGGTCCAGAGGGATGAATATTCTCAGCCAGAGCCGGTCCAGAGGGATGAATATTCTCAGCCAGAGCCAGTCCAGAGGGATGAATATTCCCAGTCAGGGTCTGTCCAGAGGGATGAATATTCCCATCCAGGGCCGGTCCAGAGGGATGAATATTCCCAGCCAGAGCCGGTCCAGAGGGATGAATATTCCCATCCAGAGCCGGTCCAGAGGGATGAATATTCTCAGCCAGAGCCGGTCCAGAGGGATGAATATTCCCAGTCAGAGCCGGTCCAGAGGGATGAATATTCCCAGTCAGAGCCGGTCCAGAGGGATGAATATTCTCAGCCAGAGTCGGTCCAGAGGATGAATATTCCCAGTCAGAGCCGGTCCAGAGGATGAATATTCCCATCCAGGGCCGGTCCAGAGGGATGAATATTCCCATCCAGGGCCGGTCCAGAGGGATGAATATTCTCAGCCAGAGCCGGTCCAGAGGGATGAATATTCCCAGCCAGAGCCGGTCCAGAGGGATGAATATTCCCAGTCAGGGTCTGTCCAGAGGGATGAATATTCTCAGCCAGAGCCGGTCCAGAGGGATGAATATTCCCAGCCAGAGCCGGTCCAGAGGGATGAATATTCCCATCCAGGGCCGGTCCAGAGGGATGAATATTCTCAGCCAGAGCCGGTCCAGAGGGATGAATATTCTCAGCCAGAGCCGGTCCAGAGGGATGAATATTCTCAGCCAGAGCAAGTCCAGAGGGATGAATATTCCCAGTCAGGGTCTGTCCAGAGGGATGAATATTCCCATCCAGGGCCGGTCCAGAGGGATGAATATTCCCATCCAGGGCCGGTCCAGAGGGATGAATATTCCCATCCAGGGCGGTCCAGAGGATGAATATTCTCAGCCAGAGCCGGTCCAGAGGGATGAATATTCCCAGTCAGAGCCAGAGAGGGATGAATATTCCCAGTCAGAGCGGTCCAGAGGGATGAATATTCTCAGCCAGAGCCGGTCCAGAGGGATGAATATTCCCAGTCAGAGCCGGTCAGAGGGATGAATATTCCCAGTCTGTCTGTCCAGAGGGATGAATATTCTCAGCCAGAGCCGGTCCAGAGGGATGAATATTCTCAGCTAGATCCGGTCCAGAGGGATGAATATTCCCATCCAGGGCCGGTCCAGAGGGATGAATATTCCCATCCAGGGCCGGTCCAGAGGGATGAATATTCCCAGCCAGAGCCGGTCCAGAGGGATGAATATTCCCATCCAGGGCCGGTCCAGAGGGATGAATATTCCCATCCAGGGCCGGTCCAGAGGGATGAATATTCCCATCCAGGGCCGGTCCAGAGGGATGAATATTCTCAGCCAGGGTCTGTCCAGAGGGATGAATATTCTCAGCCAATGGGCTGTCCAGAGGGATGAATATTCTCAACCATTGGACTGTCCAGAGGGATGAATATTCTCAGCCAGAGCCTGTCCAAAAACGATGGATATTCCCAGTCAGGGTCTGTCTACAGGGATGAATTTTCTCAGCCAGAGCCTGTCCAATTCCCAGCCAGACTTGTGCAGAGGAAATTCGAAGAATATTCCATCAGAGCCTTTTGAGAAGGATGAATGCTCTCAGATGTAGCATGTTCAGAGGAGTGATTATACTCAACCTGTCCAGAAACATGAATATTCTCATCCGTCCAAGTTATGATGACATAACTGCTGTGGTCCATAATGATATGGATAAAATCCAGATTGGACAATGTTTAGTCATACAAATTAATGTACATGCATGCAGACACAGAGACAAGAAATATTGGGCATTTTACCCTGACAAGAATTTGATAGTAACCTCATTTTGTATTAGGAATATTGCTGAGTACCAATACACTGGCAGTATGTACCAACTTATATTAAAAGAAAAACATCAACTGGTTGTCCTATATGTGTTATGAATAATTATACTTATGTATTATTAAGCAAGTTGAAGATGAACAAGGTTTCCCATCTATGGTATAAATATTTGTTTTGTGTATCAAGTGTTATTAAATAGTGAAATATCAACAGCTTATCCCATGGCTATGTTGTAAATGATTTCAGTCTGTCAGTCTGTTTCTTATGTTGTTGTTTTCTTATCACAGGAGCAGTTCTCATCTGCATGCAATTCTGACTGTTTATTATGAAATATATCCATTATGATGTACAATGTCTGTTGTAGTCTGTTCAAGGCCAGCAAGGTTTTAGTAGATTAATATTGATCATTTGCTTGTAAAGAGGAACCAAGCCTTATGCTACTGAGGGTGAGTCCCGTATTGTGAAACTACCCAAAGGTGGCAAGCTGCAAGGGTATGAAGAAAGCCAGGCACCACTTACCAAGAACATATTTTTGTCTACTAGCATATGTTCAAGGATAGAAACATGCGGAATTTGCCTGCAGTTCTGCAAAGTTACAAATGCCTGCAAATGCTGAAGGAATGCCCTCACGCTTTGGAGTATCCCAAGGTCCCATAGACCAACGTGATATATTTTATGAGCGCCTCAACAAATTTGCTGCCAGTCATAATCGCCACAGTGGCCTGATACAGAACTAGTGTCACAAACAATAGACCCATTCTGTCTCAATAAAAAATTACCTGAAGTCTTCCTGTCCCACCTGAAAGAAACCCAGCAGCTGTTCCCATTATCAAAACCTCGTAGAACATAACCTTTATATGTAAACATCACAGAATTAATTGTTTGATGAAATTGGTGACAGGTTAAACAATGCCACGTGTGTGGACCATAGGCGGATCCAGACGGGGAATACAGTACTTTAAACTTTGGGTTTGGCTCTAAAACCCTATGTCCATTCCCCTTTTGTACTGGAATACAAAGCAGTATAAAGTTCCCTTCAAAGAGGGAGACATTGCTGAGGACGGGAAATATACCACCAAATCTGTGTCGCAAAGAGAAACCTTAATCAATAATACGACCACGGAAAGCCGTTCTTTATATTCAGAGAAAGCATGGCTGACACGAGCAATTAATGCCTTGACAGTTCGCCAAAACTCAAATAAGTTCTATCAATTTCTGTACGTTCCTAGCACATACGACAATTATAGTTCCATGGATATCTTCAAAGATTGAGTGAGTATGGTTTTACGCCGCTTTTAGCAATATTCCAGCAATAACACGGCTGGGGACACCAGAAATAGGCTTCACACATTGTACCCGTGTGGGGAATCGAACCCGGGCCTCGGCGTGACGAGCGAACGATTTAACCATTAGGCTACGCCTCAGGGAGTAAGGACACTTGTCAAATGAGGAAGGAGATGTTGCTAGTGCTACACAATTCAAAGTCTCGGTAAAGTTTACAGAAACGTTTATGTGGAGGACATTTACAAATTCTACTCACTCCCACTATATGCTGCATTACTGCATTAGCCTGTTTCTTTGAAATTTAAATGGACTTTCTTTTTCAATTCCGTTAGTGTCTTTCAAAATTAAACTGTGAAACTAGGTAATATTGACTGAACGGGGCTGGGGGGTGGGGTTTCAGCTTCTCGTCATTGCTCTAATGGTCTGTTAGATCGGGAATTGTGGGTAATTAATAGTATCAATGGTAACAGAATATTGCGGAATAGGCCCATTCGTCACCTCTCGCCCCTTTCCGTAACCTCCAAGCTCTTTGGCTTGTCCCGGAATAACACGAGTTGGTCACGAATGGAATAGGCCATTACTTCGGGTCGCCATCTTCGGGAAGAATTATTTGGTAGAGTGTTAAATAATTTATTAAGATTTAACCAGAAATGAAAAGATAATGTGCTGAAGATTTGAAAATACTTCAGATTATATTTCCGCAGTACACCTTATTAACCTTAACTTCTTTTAAGGTATGGTTGACTTTCAAAACAAAATATGTAAAGTCTGAGTTATACTTCAAATGTGAATCAGTTATAAGATAAACATGTCCTCTCTTCCTTGCATAGAGACTGCTTATCTGTCTTTGAACCCAAACATAGTTCCGTGACAGCTGGTTCTGAAACATTTGACGAAGGACAACTGACCTGCGCCCTCTTGCACAAAGAAGATTTTTTTTGCGTTGGCGGAGCCAATGGAGGGTTCAGGGGGTTTGAACCCCTTCAACCACACACACACACACACACACACACACACACATTTTCTCATCAGGTTAATTCAATTTGCGTAAAGATACCTTCTGTTTAAAACAAAACTCCACAACGAATTATGAATTTAAATGACATGTTTACATCTTGGTTACGGGTCACTGGATTGTGATTTAAATGAAGTTTTCAAAACATAATATGTCTATTTATGAAAGAAATCCGAATTCGTTCTTACAGACAATACATTATTTTTTAGACCACCCAGTAGGACCAGGGAAAACCTTTTTGTGTGTTCGAAAACAAAGTACTGTTTCCCAAGCGGAACCAGGGACAGATTATGAGTCCCAAAAAATCGCTTATACGTGTAAGCACAGTGGTCTTATCGATTTGACAGTTAATCCCAAATTTAAGGGCATCACATGTCGCCAATTAAGGACATTATGACGATGTGTGTTGACGGTATTATAAATGGATCAGCTTCTCTAACAATTTATTGCATCTATTATGTACAAGTCATAATAGATGGTGTTTAATGTACAATATCGATTTAGGCACCAGATGTGTCAAAGGTTAAACCTTATGCACTGTTGCTTCGAAACTGTCTTTAAAAGCGTCCATCCAAGCTGAATGACTGTAAAAGGGGTAAGTATGTTTATATATTATTCGAATGGAACTGAACAGTTTACCATTTAAACTTCAAAATGAACTATTACTCATTGTGGAATCATAATTATCATAAGAATAAGGATTATTTGTGTATATAGTGTAATGGTTGTGATTGTGTGTGAGTTGTCAAAGGCTCTGTAATAACCTGAGGGCGTCACTGACTCTTGATACAAACCTGTCATAGAGTATAGGAATCTCAAATTCTCTCTGACTCGTGGACGGTGGGGTAGCTTAGTGGTTAAATTGTACGCTTGGCACGCCAATGACCTGGGTTCGGTTCCCCATATGGGCACAACGTGTTAAGCCCATTTCTGATGTCCCCCGCCGTGATATTGCTTGAATAATGCTAAAACCGGCGTAAACCTAAAGTCACTCCCTCTAGGGATGACTGTGGTTTGTCTGTCTAGGTTTGTCTGTATATTCTCTCTTTCTCTCTATCTCCCTCTTTCTCTCTCTCTCTCACACACATACACACGCACACATACACATTTCTATGTTTTCTGTTACCAGTACACTACTCTTTGTACGTAGCGCCTAAATGATTCTATGCCGCGTTCCACTATTCACACAGTCCTGAAGCCATGTGTAACAGACCCCATGTTTTCAGCTAGCCAGTGATCGCTTCAGCCACAATATATTACCTACGCTGCCGTTATAACCTCAGAATGAGTATGTGTACTTGCTCAAGGATCATTCACAGTCTCAGAGGTTGTAAGCACAAAGTTGCCCAAGCATATCTTGAACACATATTATAAGTATACTTTTCAAAACGAGTCATAGAAAACAAAGAATTAGAAGTCTATGTGCTGCGATATCCACCAGTTTGACAGAGTAACTATTTACATAATTATGTAAAGATCGAATCTTCTCAATTTCTGTTGAGTAGTACGTCGTGTGTGTGTGTGTGTGTGCGCGCGCGCGTGCGTGTGTGTGTGTGAGTGAGACATAGTCATCTAGAAGACTTTACAATGTACTGATACAATTGTGTTATTGTCTTCAGGATATTTCGGAACAATGTGTGCCTTCCTCTTGACTTTGACTGCAGGTAGGTATAGAATATCACAATATATTGAGTTGGAAAAATCTAAACTGGAAGCTCATGTGACACAATACGAGTATTCAGGATGTGCTTAGACCAATGCGCAGTCCACTGGTATGACACCACACATATAATGACAGGTTGTGCAAGGATACACCGGAAAATACATTTCACTAAGGTTTACAGATGGTTCACCGAAGATGCAGAATGTCCTTAAATGTCTTGTTAAAATATACGTTAGAGAAAGAAAGTGTTAGATCTGAATCAATGACGGGAACAATATTGAGTGAGTGAGTATGGTTTACGCCGCTTTTAGGAATATTCCAGCAATACCATGGCGGGGGGCACCAGAAATGGGCTTCACACATTGTGCTCGTGGGGAATCGAACCCGAGTCTTCGGCGTGACGAGCCAACGCTTTAACAACTGGGCTATCCCACAGCCCCGGAACAATATTGAGTCTATAATATCCCAATTATATAACACCCTCATCTTCCCCTCCAAACCACACACACGCGCACGCACTAACGCACGCACACATGAAAATGTTTCGGAAGTAATGTAAAATGTGTTAGTGCATACGCTACTTGTGATTCACCTTCGAAACTCCATTAAGGATTTTTGAACAAATGACTTAAATTCAAGACTTGAAAATCCATCAGGTCAAGAAGACACATCTAGATAGTGCACACAATAAACTCCTCTCCTCTTTATCCTTTACAGTTTTGTGTCACGTGCTACGTGTGGATGGAGCTCAGGTGATTGACGCCAACAACCGCTTCCGGTACGCACTACACCGGAACTGGCGTCTGGCATATCGTCGACCAACAATAGCCCGAGTCTTAGAGCTTGATACGGATGTTAGACTTGAAACACGCTACACATTCACCACCGTCCATGGTGTCCATAGATGCAGATTACGGGGAGTTGTATAACGGCATGCCTGTCATAGGGACGAGTGTTGAAGCCGACGTTGACGACATCGGCCGATATGCTGGTGGCGCCGTGACGGGGACGCTGGTGCTGTCTATGAAGAACGACATCTCTAACCCTGAGCTGTGTCAGTTGACGGAGCAGGAGGCACAAGACATCCTCCTTACAGAGGAAGGACTAGCCTTAGATATACATATTTTGCGTAAAAGAGTCATCAAGAAGATATTTGTTGACAAGGCTAAGAAAGCCCATCTTGTGTTCGCCACTGACATACTGGTTGAAAACACATTAACTGAGACAAGACCATATTACCTCATAGATCGCTGCGACGGTTCTGTTCTCAAGAAATCAAAAAGGTTGAACACGAAATTCCGATCCCTGGGGGGCAGATTTGTCCATCACCGGGGAGACAAGTACAGAGGAACTGGATGCAGAGGAAACCTCTACTGGGACCGCGCCCTCACCTACCGTGACAGTTCCAGACACACCTGGCGGGAAGTGTCCAACCTTTGTGAAGGGGACCGGTGGCAACCCGAAGACAGGCCCCATTGTGTACAGCACTCCCCCCTACTGTCTCGACGTGAGGGTGGAGGGGGACACGTGCTTTCTGGAAAATGAATATGTCAAGGTCGTTGATCTGAAACAGACAAAAAACGAAACGAAGACTGAGGTTGTTAGCTTCAAATGCTCTGATGGGTATGACGACGCCATCAACGAGGCCAGCAACCCCGTCCTCGACGCCCTCTTCTACGGCACAGCAACTTTCAAAATGTTTGAAGACTGGTATGACACCAAACCGCTGAACATCCAACCATCATGGCTTCTTGTTCATTACGGTTACGTGACTGATAACGCTTTCTGGAACGGGGAGAGGATGTTGTTTGGGGATGGAAACCTAGACAATACTTATCCCGTTGTGGGACCTGATGTCATAGGTCATGAGCTTGGACATGCGATATCAGAGCAGAACTCTGAGTTAGAGTACTCTGGACAGTCTGGCGGGATTGATGAAGCCTTCTCTGACATTGCAGGAGAAGTTGTAGAGGCCTACGTTAGAACAACTGACTGGATGGTCGGATTCGATTTATCAAAGTCAGAAACTGAAGCGCTGCGATATTTTGAAGACCCCACCAGGGATGAAGTTTCAATTAAAGATGCTAACAATTTTGAAATCGACATGGACGTCCACTACAGCAGCGGCGTCTTCAACCACGCCTTTTACCAGATTGTTGTAGCCGGCATGGTCCCCATCAAATACGCGTTTGAGGGTTTTCTTATCGCCAACAGGTTGTACTGGAAGGAAGATACTGGGTTCGTCGATGGCGCATGTTCAACTATCCGTGGCGCTTACGATGCCGGCTTGGATACCGATATATACAGCTCAGCCTTCACAGCTGTTGGGATTAATGCTTGTCCTTTGACCAGGTTTCTTCAGATGCTGATCCCCTCAATCGAACACCCCAACATCCGGGTATCGAGTATCCGTCAACCGCTGTTTGGCATCAAGACCAAAGACACAACAAAGAAGATCGTTGTGGAAGCTGTCAGTGGGACCGAAGCGGATGTGAAGCTGGCGCTGTCGAGGACGGAGTCCCGAAGTAACCCTGACGCTTCAGGGACTGGGAGGGTTGAACTGCCAGTTTCGGGGATAGCTTTGTACTACGTCCGCATCTTCACAGACTCCGTCGACGAGATAGATGACGTCAGGGTCACTTTGAAACTGGAATAAATTACAATTAATGGAAACAAATTCGAATCGACCTGTCACAGATCTGGAATTTACCAGGTGAATAAATATGATCTCAACCTTGCTATCATATATCTTTGTTTTCTATCAGGCCACGTAATCATCAAAATCAAATATTTAAATTCTGAACAACCAATTGTAACAAGTGTATTAATTTCCAACAGAGACATACAGATTTCATAAACCATAAAAATAACAAAAATACGCTATTTTGTCAATTTAATGCATGAAAGACGTGGGTAATAAATAAAATACCACACTCGGTCTCATTACATATGAATTATACGAAACTCGTGACCTTCCTATGGTATCTGACCGAGGAAGGACACTCGTTTCGTATAATTTGTATGTAATGAGACCTCGTGTAGTATTCTCTATGTATGGCATAGTCACTCTATCCCAGTAAGGATTTTTTATGATAAACTTATTTGCACTGATAAATGTTCAAACATTTGTAATAAATGGCAGCTTTTATTTCCTGAAACTGACTTTGATTGGAAAAATATATTTACAGTATATAGAAAGGGATTACAAGATACAAAGCTTAAAGCGAGTTAAGATTTAACGTCACATCGGCAATATCTCAGCCATATCGTGACGAACAAAGCTTATAGACTTATTATTATACAAAAAAGGAATTGGTAAAAAAAAAAAAAAGTTGATAACAGTTTGTGTTGTTTTTGCAATGCTGTAAATGAGAGTTTGTGTCATGTGTACTTGGGATGTCAGGAGACACAAACATATTCCATCAATGATGGAGAGTTCTCTCCCCAGTACTAAGATGACTCTAAACTGTATTAATTTGTACCTGACATTATCTATACATTGTCTATTTATGATTTTATACATGTTTATGGATATATTAATATATTGATATCTTACCTGTATATCATGTAGTTATATTACCTTAAGCCGTATGTAACACGGCTATGTATATCTGTGATATTACAATCTTGGGAACCAATAAAAAATTATATAAAAAAATATGGCATACCACTGAATCTACAAATGAGTATAAACAGCTCAAAATCATTTGGATTTCATTTTATTACAAACGAAACAGCAGAATAATCAGTGCTAGTTTACAATACAACCTTACACAATGGATGAGGCTGTTCCAGAGAAGTACGACAATCGGCACACATTTGAAACTGGTTCAATCTCATGGCTAGTCAGTCAGCCTGATGTACGCACACAACCAACAATACTGTCCCATCACCGCGACTGGTCCCATCTCATGGCTAATCAGTCAGCCAGATGTACGTACTGTACACAGAGTACGGGAACCCGTCCCAGAAAACCTCCCCAGGATCAGTCTGTCTCATCCCATCTAAAGTAGGAATCAGTTTACCGTTAGGGTTGCACAGCGCCGGATCCATCGTATAGGAAAACGCTGCGACATCACAACCTTTGAACCACCAACCCGACTTATGCTCCAAAGCACAAGTCCACCACGAAAGGTCATCATTGTCGCGGTCTTTTGCTGAGAAAGGCTTCCCGATGACGCTGGTGAGGCAGTCGTTCCCGAAGTCCCCGTAAGAGTGGTTGAACGAATCGATTGCGAAGTCCTTGTTCTCGTCCAAGATTTTGAAGTTGGTGTAACTTCGGGAATAGGTCGAGCCGTTCTTAATTACGTAACTGATGGTAAAGGTCACGTTCCTGGACGAAAGGAGGGTGTGGAGGTAGCGGTTCCCAAGCCAGTGGTCCCCCGTGAGACTTCCAAAACCCTCAGTGTACTCCGCCCATGGTCTGAACATGTCTGTGGAGGGGTTCTCCCGGTACTGCACGTGCAGTCTCCCGCCATTCCTCATGTCGCACCGGACAAAGAAGGTATGATTGAAGGTCGACGGCTGGACGGGTAGAACACCTGAAAAGTTGTTGTAGCTGTTTGACTTGAACCCATCGCTACAACCTAGATACAAAACACAGGTGAGAGTTAATCAGTGTAATAAATTATCGGACAAAAGAAAAGCATATAACAATGGCCTGATTGTGACGAAAAGTAGTGCAACAAGATATGATCATTCTTTGGTGATGTATTGATACTTGACAAACCAATTCGATTATGTACTTAAAGCTGCTTACCCATTTTTTCTGGAGTTAAATTCAATTAGTCTTGGTTGATATGAGTTAATAACGTTTACTCACTTGACATCCGTCTCTCACAGCTGTCCCCCACATAGCCGTGAACGCAGATGCACTGGTCCCCAGTGTCTTTGTAGCCCCCATTCTGACAGTCGCCACGCTATCACACAGACATATTTGATTATTAGATGGGAATAGTTAAAATCTCTGGCTACAACAGTTCAAATGTGTTTGGTGCGGAGTTTAGTATTTTGAACGAGTGGTAGTAGTATTAGTAATAGTAGCTGCAACAGCAATAATAATAGTAGTAGTAGTAGTGATCGAGGGGAAAAAATAGCAGCGCCTTGAGCATGCACTAGTTGCGTGGATACGTGCGCTATATAAATATCCTATAATAATAGTAGTAGTAGTAGTAATAGTAGTAGTAGTAGTAGTAGTAGTAGTAGTGTGGTCCTATGCACAGAGCTCAGGTCACGAATCAGTGAAGTTAAGCAACGTCGAGCTCGGACAGTCCTTCGATGGGTGACCGTGTTTGACAGCTTGACTCCTGAGAGTTTCTAGGACTTCAGTCCTGCCCCACAACGAAGCGATACATGTGGTCTCACCTTAGGCAAGTGAGTTTGTTCAAACTTGCCTCTGTTCACCCAGCAGAAAATGGGTACCCGGTTGGAAAAAATTATGTGACTAACCTTTTAGCGCCTGACAGGCAGCTTGGGTTATCCGGGGAAATAATCATTAGATTCTGAATAAGCGCCGCGAGCAATCACTTGGTGTTTGGAGACTGTGCGCTATAGAAGATGACTTATTATTATCTTAGTAGTAGTGTTTTCTTAGGAATGTCCCAGCAATATTACGGCGGAAAGCCCAAAAGAGCAGTGGTACTAGTAGTAGTAACAGGAGGAGAAGTAGCAGCAGTGATTGGATATTGAATATGCTAGTGTGTTTAACAAGTAATACAGGTATAAAAAAACGGGCACACACGCAAACACACACACACACACACACACACATTAACGCATTCGATGTGGAAACAAGAAAACAAAACCTGCTGGAGGATTAAATCAACCACCTCCACAAAGTAACTTGAGAGTTGTTCCCCCTTGCACTGGTTATTGTCAGGCTGTGGGAAGAGAGTACAGTTTCGTCGATAGCGGTCAAATACCCGGCACTGGGGGTTCTGTAGGCACAGGACGGCACACTCAGTGACGGTGTTGGTGTCCACGGTGGCCAGGACGGACGTCAGGGAGCACAACTCGGACTTGAACATAAAGATCCCCGTGACATGAGACAGGTACATCACGTGCATCATGGTTACCAGGAGACAGCGGAGTGGCATCCTTCTTGACAACACTTAGCAACGGGATACACGTGATCTGTAGATAGAACTCGGCATTGAAACCATCCTGGATGATCCGGTGAACAATACTTTCTGATTACTACGAGGAATGCCCTGGACAAATTCCATATCATAGCTTCGTCACGAAGGTAACGGCGTATTCTCGTGGCGTAGGTTTAAGGGCCCGACAAAATCTACGTGTACGCTAAACAATAGTAAACATATCCGCCCATTAATGATAATAGTGAGTGAGTTTAGTTTTACGCCGCGTTTAGCAATATTCCAGCAATATCACGGCGGGGGACACCAGAAATAGGCTTGTACCCATGTGTGGAATCGAACCCGGATCTTCGGCGTTACGAGACCGCCCCCATTAATGATAATAACTATCTGGAAGTGTACTATTTATAAGACGATAGAGGCGATAAAGCAGAATTTGTTTTAAGAATGACAGTTTTAAAATTCGCAATTTTAGCAGCGACGTTTAATAGAGTAATAAAACATATTTTTGGGAAATTCGTACAAATGGAAACCTAGTTGGATATAACAGAGGTCTTACATAAGACATAAAACTTGATTTACTATGTGACACGGGACTCAAACGCGTTGCACACCCGTGTCACATGCGAATTACACGCGTTCAAGGAGAATGAATTTTTAGGCAGTAGTGTATGTATGTATGTATGTGTGTGTGTGTGTGTGTGTGTTCGTTCGTTCGTGCGTGCGTGCGTTCGAGCGTGAGGGTGTGCTTCCACTACCCTGTATATCACATGCGTGCAAGACTCTACACCGAAACGTCGCTCCTTGTTGCAATAACAAGTTCTTCATGTATACATCTTATCCTTACTTCATCTGTGACTGATATTTCCAACATCACAGCGAGATGGTCATCCCTAAGTTTAATTCTTCTTAAAATTTGCCGGGATCAAATTCTGCAGCTTCTCTCAGTTCTAGTATTCAGTTCAGTACACTGGAATTTAACACTTCATCGTCAATATACAGGATATGACAGGCAACAAAGGCATACTTTCCCATGCACATGTTTTCGAGGTGGCTACCGATAGAGCAGGGCATGCCTACCCTTTCGGCGAACACCTGGTATCATCGCTGATTGCCAGTCATTTAGTTATTTAGTGTTCATTTCCAGTGGATAATTAAGACTGGTTATTCCCTGCCATTGCCGTTTTCTATTTACAACATGACCTAATGCCAAGAACCAACAGAAACCGACCGGAACAATACAAGGTTTTTTATGCCAATTTTCATCGCTAATCGTGATTTAAGGTGCAGTTAAAATATTTTGATAACTTTTAACTCATGCTTGTCAAAGTTAAATAATACTGACCGTGTACTGTTATTGGGTTTCATTGTCTCTCATCACGAACAAAAACATAGATACCAGTAATAGAAAGTTCAAAAGACTCACCTTACATTACTTGTGAAACAACATGTTTGACACATTCCATCAAACACAAGTGTGATAAGTGAGTATCAAGCACAACGACATCAGCGCCCTCAACCGTCGAAATCTGTCGTCAGAGTAAACAACGTATCGATATCGATTTGGAGGATCAGAATTACTCTGAACTAACCGGCTCACTGATCAATGGAGCCTGACAACACCGTGTTGGTTGGGGCTGCGTGTCTGATCACAAGCGTACGTCTTCAGGAATATGATCATAAACCTTGACTCATGTCAATGATACATTAAACGCTTAATTAGACGTTGGATATCATTTTAACATTAATACATGATTTCCAATTTTGAATAACATTCATTATTACACTGTCACCTATTCATCAATTTGTAAGATCGTTACGTGACATGACATCAAGTGTTGAACAATTTCTCGATAGGCTTCGCATTGAATCAAATCGATTGTGATCGATTACTTGAACTTCAAGGTATGATCGTTGTTTCTGAACATATAAAGTTTTCAAGTTCTGTCACACACACACATCAAAAGCTCTGAGAAAGATTATTACAAATGATTTAAATGAACACAGATTAAATCTTTGAGTGGTCCAGCAAACCTGGGATTATGCGTATGCTTAAACATGGTAATAGTCTGTTCACAAACAGCCCATGTAATAGGATAGGATTGTCTCAACCACGTGTTTACACGGTCACCAAGGACGCTGTCATGGTAACGATGTAGGATGCTGTTAGATAAGGAAGAAGGTAATATGTTACATTTAAATTCTCTCAGTTCAGCCCTTTGGTTTGAGGCCGTGTATTGAATAAGGAATTGTTCTCCTAATGCCAGACACTTCCCTTGCTTTATCAACAGTTACGCTTTGTTGGGTGTCACTTAAGAAGTCGCATACACCACACACGATCAAACTACTGTTATTATCCAAATGTAAATTACGAAGCATAATACTTTTAAATGGATTGTATTCACACCTTTACGGTGTTTGCATGTCGAGATAAAATGGATACGGGCGTAATCTTATTGCCGAGTTTAAAAAATATTAAATGAGAAAGTTTCTCGAGATTTATCTTTGAAGGTTTAATGCACTATTTCCGTCTCTTGATGCGTAACTGTTTGTAAATCAGCGGCCACTTTTGATGACAAAAGAAAGCTGTAGAGGAGGTGAGCATTTTTAAAGGGACAAAAGCTCTTTAACACTCGAACTATTTTGACTGTAATTATAGATGGATGGGTACTACGGAATATGTCATGGTTCATGTTTTGATGAGAATGATAAATAAACACAGATAACAACTTTTATTATTTGAAGTTTTATTGAAAATATAAAACATAATAGCACAATAAACATAATAACATTTCATTTAAATTTGCTCGTGGTAAACTAAAATGAAGAAATAATGCACATTTTTCCTACAGAGTTACGTAACCATTTGAACTCTCACATCGTATGGACATATATAAATACATTATCGACAGGAATATGAAACTATAAGCAGCCCACAGCATCGAATGCGGTGATATTATCATATGAAATCATAGGAAAAATACACAGAGAAATATAAAATATATGTAACATTAAAATGAACCATTAATGCAATGACATTTCGTTTCAGAATTGTACCGCTTTTTTTAACTGTTTTGAACATTTGCTTTTTGTTTATTGTATTTCTTGCAAAGTAATGGAACTATTTGAAACCTTACATCTTAACAGTGTGTACTAATATACAGTAAATTACTATTATCAGGGCCTCAAACTATCACTTTTGTTAGTTTGTTCCAGCTGCAGTTCTTTATGTGCATTTGGACTAAACTACACAGCAAGTGGACTAAAACAAACAGTTGAGCCCTAAATAAATCAAAGGAGACTACCTATAGAAATATACACAATAAAAAGCAACAAACGTTGTAAAAAGGATTAAACAGACAATATTTCTTCTTCGATATCCAACATAGTCATCAGTTTATTGGCCATACATCACATGGTGAGATACATGACACTAAACTCATACAAATGTATGCCTCGTCTTATGTACATATAAATCAATTTTGACATAAGCATATAACATTCAAACGGACTTCCTGTACAAGTATATGTTACAAAGGCCTAGCAATTACGTTCAGTGAGGATGTGTTGCTAAAAGAATCACCATGACGACAGAGAGCAGACCGGTTATGACGTAATGAATCAAGAGCATGATGGTCTTGACTCGGTTCTCCTGAAAATAAAGCAGACATTAAAACATTTTGAACAACGGTAAATACGCTCTCCGTGGCATCACGGGAACAACCCCAGAGCTCCGTGTATAGTATCCAAAGCGTCCGAAGCAAAAAATATAAAAGCGTTTAGCGCAACTATGAAAAGCGGGAACTTAAAGCAAGTTTAGATAAACACTATGGTATACTTCACCAGCATGAGCAGGTTGGTGCCTGTGAACCCTTAATATTATCATTAGTAATCTCCGATAAACTTTCAGCACATATCACAGTCAGGTGCAGGGCTCTACCGAGCCATCACCCGATCCTGACACGACAAAGGGACACAAATTTTAAAGGTCCAAAAATGAACACTTCAATGCCTGATTGTTATGACTGAAAACAACATCTAAAGTACATGGTCAGGCTTCAGGAAGGGGTCGTCATTGTACAACTGTCATATACTTTTCCATATACTTGCAGTTACATCGTGTTGCCAAAAGAAACATAGCATCAGGCAATGGAGTCCGACAGGGTGATCTTAGAACCAAATTGGAAGTGCCTTAATACTTTAGGGACGATGGGGTAGCCTAGTGGTTAAGGCGTTCGTTCCCCACGCCGAAGACCCTTGTTCGATTCCCCACATGGGCACAATGTGTGACGGAGTGCGGAAGGTCGCGGGTTCGATCCCCGACCGCGTCATACCAAAAGACGTTAAAATATGGTACTTGTTGGTCCCTGCCTGGCGCTCGGCATTAATGGGTACAACAAGGACTGGCCGGCTCGGAGTCCGTATACTGTGTCTGAATGGGGTATTCATGCTTCACTGCGGCATGGTATCTCAGTGGGCTAACACTATAAAACCAGCTTCAGTCTGGGCTAGTACAAGCAGCCGCACATACACATACACACGCATGCACGTCGTCATATGAGCGAAATATTCTCAAGCACGACGTTAAACCCAATTCCACCATCACACCACAATGTGTGAAGCCCATTTCTGGTGGCCCCCGCCGTGATATTGCTGGAATATTGCTAAAAGCGGCGTAAAACTAAACTCACTCACTCACTCACTTTACTACCTTAAACACAGATCCACGATAGTGGTGGCAATAATACAAGAACAAAGGCCACAGGGGTCCACTGTTCCATGACGCTGGGAAATATAGTTACCTGTTCTATGGTTGGTGGGGGTTGAGTGATGACAGCGACAGGAGCTGTGGGGAGAGGGGTAGTGACGTCGTACCCCTTGTGAGAACCACGCCTCAAATTCAGATTGGCACTCAATTCGAACTTGGTCTGTTTAACTGGAAGCAAACACCCATGAAGTTAACTGAGTCAACTAGTATATACTCATCCACTATATACCCAGTACTAACATCTCGACCAACCTACACTATCCCTGGATCCATTCCCATGGCTTTCGCGATCGCTAATTATCCGCCCTTGATTTTAAGCCTTGGTTTGATCGGTTCGTTAGGCCCAGTACCGTAGCGATCAAAATGGCAAAATCAAAATTAAGGGCGGGTAATTCAAAATTTCGAGAACCATTGACTGGATCCAGGGGGAAGTGTAGGCTTACAGAAATGCTTGCCCTTGAGATATCAAAGATGGCATATAGTCACAGTGCAGTATCTATGAAGCGTCAGTCAAACGTCTGTACTAAAAGGTATTGGCGTTTTTTAAGAAAGAAATACACGTGATGTACCTGCAAGTGTCTTGAGAATAGTTGGCAGAAGTTCCATGGCAACTAGATACGCAGCTAAGTAGACGACGTAAACCGCCATGACAGCCATCGGCGCTGTTGATGACCCTGCCTTTGTTAGGTCAAGGCCGATGAATATAGTTATGACTGAAACATGAAAGAAAATACAGATTTCTAGAGGAGTGAGTGAATGAGTTTAGTTTTACGCCGCTTTTATCAATATTTGTACCCATGTGAGGAATCGAACCCGGGTCTTCGGCGTGGCGAGCGAACGCTTTAACCACTATGCTACCCCACCGCCCTCCATAGAAGGAACATACCACTGAGACTATCATGCACGGTTCAGTAATTCTACATAACATGTATTCTTAATATGTAGACAAATAAAGGCTCTGACCATGCACGGTCGAGTAATTCTACCTAAAATATATGCGCATCAATAATCTTAATTCAATAATCTTTGTTTTGTTTTTCACAAAATATAAATGACAGATGAAGGATCTGGCATGCGTGAATTGTTTATGTTGTGTTATTTTGTTTTAATTGGAGTGAGTACTTACTTGCCAGTACAGCCGATACAACCCCAACACCCCAGTGGGCCCAGTTGAAGAGTTGTCTCCCTACAGACTCAGGGCCAGGGCGAAACAGCGCCATGATTGGCTACAAATAAACACGATGCATTCATGAACAAACAGACTGTGCAAAAGTAAATTCCGCGTGCAATGTAAAACGTTTTACTTCTGTTTGTGCACAATGGTTTAGGAATCTATCGATTATGTTGAACTACATTTCAGTCGTTCGACTGGTGGTACTGTGGGCAACGTCTTCTCTTCTGGCGGCTTCATATAAATAAACAGCTAATTCTGTAAATCATTTATAAAATGTAGACCTTTCACGTGAAATCATTGAAATATTCCTTAAAAATTCTCGCGATATTATTAGTAACTGACGGTAAATGGAAAATGCAAACCCATGTTTGATAGCAGCAAATAATGAAACAACCAAAGAAATGTTTCTTAGACGGGAATAAGGGGTTGAAATGTTTTTCATTTTTGTTCCAGTAAACTTTCAATATCCACTTGACCAAATGTTAATTTCAATTGATCACACTTAACAATTTGGTTTCTTTTGTAAATAATCTTTATCAATTGGTAGCAATTGCATTTGCACTACTGTGCCACGGTAAAGTTAATATGGATATTTACTTGACCGACCGAGAATTCGTAAGACCCAACTCACTCACTCACTCACTCAGTCACTCATCAACTGTGTAGTTTCTTTTGTTCGTCAGTTTAGATCAAACTCCAGCTGTAGTATCGGGCTACTATAGTATTGCAGCCACTGTAGTGGTACTTACGTTGGTGATGGCGAGGATGATGACGATGATGCCGAGAGGAGGATGCAGCTGTTGATACTGCTTGCCTGGAATCTTTGGAATCTGAGGACATGGATGAACGTGAAATTTCAAAATTAGCGGATTTTAGAGATTGAACGAACGCTTTCATCAAATACTGACCGGATTTTAACTTTAATTATTACATGTACTGGAATTTCTACTTTTGTGGTCGGGGGAACAATAAGCATGACGAAAGTAGTCCCGGTTTGTCTTACTGACCTTGCTGTATCCCTCCGACTCCACGACAACAATAAGTGCCGCAAGGAGCGTCATACACACTGATGTTATCATACATCCACGGTGGATCTGAAAATACAGTACAGGCATGTTGCGGTCAGTCAGAATAAGAGTGAGCGAGTTTTAGTTTTAGGCTGCTTTCAGCAATATTCCAGCAATATCACGGCGGGGGACACCAGAAATAGGCTTCACACATTGTACCCATGTGGGGGAATCGAACCCGGGTCTTAAGCGTGACGAGCGAACGCCTTAACCACTTGGCTACTCCACCGCCCTCAGAATAAGGTGGAGCGCTATTACTTGTCGTAGGTGAGGTAGAAACATATTCGTTGGGAAGATAAGCGTGGCCAAAACGTGCCTCAAAAGTTGGACAGGGTAGTTTGAAAATATTTATATTCATATGACGAACAGTTACACTAGATAATCTTTCCCACAGTTCCTGAACCGCAATATTTTCCCTCCCGTCCAGACATTTCCGGAGTGTTAAAGCCCTGAGGGACCGTTCATAATTTATGGCTAGAGGCGGTGATGATGATTTTTATGGATTATTTTCATGTACAAAATCAATTACCCCAATGACCTTTCCTATAATTTCTAAGCATAATTTTAAACATACTTTCATGTACAAAATTGCTGACCCCCCTAGTACGTATGTACAAAATTGATGAGCCCCCCTCCTAGCTCCCTAGAACAACCCCTTAAAATCATCACCACCACTACCCCCTCCAGCCATACATTATGAACGGTCCCTAAATGAAGCAAGTCTAGTTTTCCTGAGGTTCAGAATCTCCTATCTCACTTGATCTCGGTTTCAATTTTTAAGGAATTACTTGTTTCTATTAAAATAACACATATCAGTGTTAGTCTGTAGGTAAACATGTAGTATCATTGACATGGTGCACACTTATGTCACTAGGGACTCACCTGAAACCATATTTTCAGTCCGAAGAAGTGAGTTTTTGGCAGCAGTGGTTTTCCGTACCTGGCTGTGACAATCCCAATACCCGGAAGTAGCACCCAACACATGATCATAATGCAGCCTGCAGTGGAACACGTAATGAGCGGTATAGTGAGCCTCCTCTGGAGACATGTAAAGCACTTAACATTAAACACTCACCGGGGACATACAGGTACTACGAGGCACGTAATGAGTGGTATAGTGAGCCTCCTCTGGAGACGTATAAAGCACTTAACATTAAACACTCACCAGGGACATACAGGTACTACGAGACACGTAATGAGTGGTATAGTGAGCCTCCTCTGGAGACGTGTAAAGCACTTAACATTAAACACTCACCAGGGACATACAGGTACTACGAGACACGTAATGAGTGGTATAGTGAGCCTCCTCTGGAGACGTGTAAAGCACTTAACATTAAACACTCACCAGGGACATACAGGTTCTACGAGACACGTAATGAGTGGTATAGTGAGCCTCCTCTGGAGACGTGTACAGCACTTAACATTAAACACTCACCGGGGACATACAGGTACTACGAGACACGTAATGAGCGGTATAGTGAGCCTCCTCTGGAGACGTGTAAAGCACTTTACATTAAACACTCACCGGGGACATACAGGTACTACGAGACACGTAATGTACATAGAGACAATAGTCTAATGGCTTTCAAGTGGGTGGCGTGAAATGGGTTAAGCGTCACGTCCAAGATTCAGATTGTGTGTAGATGTATACATGAATTAGTTTGGATATCTTCCTGTTGCATGGTGAGGACCTACTTAGAGACCATGGCGCAGTTTTACAAGGACATCCCACTCAGACAGTGTACTCCGTAGTGTTGGGAATTGGTTCAAATCTCATTATTGATGATTGCTTCATTACTACCGATCAATCATCGAAAATAATTGCGTGTATATATGGAGGCGTTCAGGTTTATGCAATTGAAAACAACTTATGGCAGAATGATTTACGAATATTTTTATTTTAGATATAGTGCAGAATACAGCGTGTGTCAACGACCCTTCTCGTGTTACTAACAAACATGATAATAATTATAATGTAAAAATATATCGGGATACTTTGATTCGATACAGCGAACATGGATCTTCAAGTGATCTGAGACAGTTATACCGTCAATAAATGAGAACCCTGTACACAAAAGTGGCCTGTATTTGATACATAATAGTTTCTCAAATAAATATTACAAATGTATAGTTCAATAAATAAGTAGAGATTATAATTCACTTAAATGCAATACAGCATATTGCTGGTGTTATTGTGCGGATTTGTTTAGACTGTTTGAAAGACGATGCATATCAGACTTCCGGTCAGGACGAAAACGAGGTTACTTCCGGTCCATCTGCAACCAGCTTTTGGTGCCGGGGGTATAATGACGCCTTGCACCTCTGCAAGCACACAGACAAGCGTGTTAGATTTAAAACTGCGATAGCTTTCTTGAATGAAATAACTCGAAATGCTGAGCTTTACTTTACGAGTCCAGGGGCATACTGCTCCTCCACTTCTGTCAAACTAGTTAGATGTTACCAGGATCCCATCGAAGGGGTAATTGATCATAGAAACTTTCTGTTTCATTTTGCATCAATCTGGTCATAAATTTATAATCATATCTTGGTGCTCGTCACCGCTTGACAAGATCTAAGGCCATCCTATCCCGGTGCACACTGCAATGCGTCCTATCCAAAGAGATCCCGGTATCAAATACAAGCTCACTTGAGTTCCACAGAGTTCCGCGAACGATTACAGAGATTACTTACCGTGAGCCAGCACTAGCGGAAACCTAGGCCCCTCACCTCCCACACTCTCCATGCTCTGCAGGTCAACTGGCACGTCAGTCACTGGCGGCAGCACGTCGTACCGGTGAGGGAAGATGTTACCTGGAACACGACCATTGTACATATGTTCTCACAGCTCGCACTGAGTGTTTCTGTTGCTCAGTGCGTTGTGTTTATGGGATCGAACAACGCCGCCTTTTCAGTGAGTGAGTATGGTTTTACGCCGCTTGTACCAATATTTCAGTAGTATACTGTATTCTTGTTAGAAATGAAGCCGAATTGTATCGAGCGAATTTAGCTAAAGGCGAAAAGAGCCTTGACGAACAGGTAGATGAAAAATGCAATTGCAAACATGCATGGTGTCCTTCGTTTCAAAGAGTGAGTGAATGAGTTTGTTTGACGCCACTTGGAATAGTATACGAGTTATATCAGTTTACTGTGGGAGGATACCCGTGAAGATCCGGGTTATAATTGATCTTCAGTAACACATGCTTGTCGTAAGCGCGACTGTCGGGATCAGGTGGTCAGGTGCGCTGACTCGGTTGACACATGTCATCGTATCCCAATTGCGTAGATCGATGCTCATGGTGCTGATCACTGGAGTTTCTGCTCCAGATTAGATTATTTACAGACTGCCGCCATATAGCTGGAATATTGCTGAGTCTAGCAAAAAACAAAACTCACTCACTCACTAATTTGGGTGGACAGCCACAAGAGATGCAGATCTTAGACGTTTACCACGTGAACACTGGATTTAAGGTGAAGACAAACCTAGCAACATGTTCGGGGATAATTGGGATTCGAACCCACAATCTCAGTTTCGTAGATGAGCACAGACAACTGGGTCACTCGTTTCAGTTCTATTCAAAGACAATGTTAGTACGTTTTCGTTGTTTATCTACCAAACATATATAAGGGTAAGCCTACCGCTAATGGCATCCCCGTCGGCAAACATAAGGTAGAAGTCGTGGTTAAGGTCCTTCAGATGTGGGTAGAAGTCGTCCTTCTTAACGTGGTCGAAGCTGCATTCGAGGACGCCGTTGACGTAGGAGCCGGCAGCGTTACTCAGACCAGCAGTTTTCTTAAACGCCAATCGCAAAAGTGAGTTACATATGCCATCCAGATATAATAACTTTAACTGAGCAAGGCAGCATCTTAAGAGTAACATGCATGGGGGTGAATAAATATTACAACTTTGAAAGGAGACTCAAGTCTTAGGCACCAGAAATGCCTTTCAGATACTATCAGGCCTTTCTGTCCATTTCTATAAGAAACATTGGGACCGATGCCTTCAGTAATTGCTAAGGGAATCCAATTCCTAAGGGAAACATCTCCGTACAGGCCAGGGTAGCGTTGTACAAAACAACTCTGACTAGTCCATGTTAAGGTATGGGAATTACGGTCACCCTAGAGACAAGACCCTTTTGTACAACGGCGACCCGAGCATTATTTTAGAAAACCAATGTATGTGTCTTTCCTATGCCCTTGCACGAAAGACTCCATTAAATCATTTGTAAACTTTGGTTAATATACTATTCAAACCTGGAAGGTTAACCATAGTGAATTGAAAGCCGCAGGTGATCCTTAAGTTTGGGTTAACAATCACTTCTGGTCAGTACTTACGTCTTCCATGCGCTTGTTGATTTTATCATCGTTGTAAGAGCTGTACACGCGGACAAACCCGGCGTCAATTACGCATTCAATGACTGCATCGTCTCCCTGGATAACAACGGGAACATAGTGTCAACATTCAGAAACATTACAACGAACGTTGGCTCATGGGAGTGTTGGTGAGTGAGTATGGTTTTACGCCGCTTTTAGCAATATTCCAGCAACATCACGGCAGGGGACACCAGAAATGGGCTTCACACATTGTACCCATGTGGGGAATCGAGCCCGGGTCTTCGGCGTGACGAGCTAACGCTTTAACCACTAGGCTACCCCACCGCCCCGTGTTGGGAAGAAGACGTCATGTTTCATCTTACAAGGTCAAAGGCTCACCATCATCCTGTCCTCTGAAAAAGCAATGGCCATCCACCTCTCGCTCCTTGCTGGTTCGATCTTCTTCATGTCAAATGTGATGACGTCCCCAGCATCCACCCACGTGACGATGTACGTGCACCTGCCTCTCTGGCAGTCATGGAAGCAGCCCCGAGTCCGGCCACAACCAGGATCCAGGGGTAGACCAAGAGGGGTAGTACTTTTGGAAGCATTCTGCAAGGAAGATAACACAGCAAAGTGTTAACTAAGCATATTTAACCTATGCAGGTGCTCGATATCTCAGCCACAATTTAAAAAGTAGACTTGTAATAGACTCTCACAAGGTTTAACGTCCACTATAGTCTGTTTGCGGTGAAAACATACCGATGAATTTCACTTTAAACAAAAATGTAAATCAAATAAAGAGAAATTAAGATTGCGAATCCTCATAATTTTACCTTGCCATTTAAAAATTTAAATCTCAGATTTTTATTCAACATAGGATAAAAGGTGTTTAACAAACGATCATAGTTTCAAATCGGTATTATTGGTTTGTATTACAAGGGGTATGCACATTAAATGAACAAGGAGGGTTGGTCTAAGTTAACGCTCATCACGTACCGCATGTGCATTTGTTTCACTGTTCCAACTACTGCGCTTACCCCCTTGTAATACAAACCAATATAAGCGATTTGAAACAATGATCGTTTGTTAAACAACTTTTTTCCTAAGATGAATAAAAATCTAAGATTTATTTTTTAAATTGGCAAGGTAGAATTATGAGGATTCGCAATCTTAATTTCACTGTATTCGATTTACATTTTTGTTTAAAGTGAAATTCACCGATACGTTTTCACTGCAAACAGACTATAGATGAGGTTCAGCAAATGTGAACTCACAAAAATGAATATGTCTTTACTTTATGATTCGTCCACCACCAGAAATTATTAATATCAAAGAATATAAAAGAGGACACAGACCTAGTCGGAGTGATCCAAAGACTCAAACTCAGATGTGCGACAGCTAGGAAAGAGGAGATAGGAAGAACACCAAAGAGGACAGTATATTAAGAGATGAAACAAATCAGCTAAAACGTCCTCATTCCACAGTAAAAAACTGTAGATGTAACTGTAACATGTTGCATGTAATATACATTTTTGAAAATGTCCGGTGTGGGTCAATTTAATATCTTATAGAAGAGTGAGTGTACGTGTAAGTGAAAATGTCCGGTGTGGGTCAATTGAATATCTTACAGAAGAGTGAGTGTACGTGTAAGTGAGTGTGTACGTGTGTGAGTGAGTGAGTGAGCGTGGTTCTGCATTTATCACCACTTAAGCAATATCACCGCGGAGAATATCAGAAATAGTCTTCACACATTAACCATGTGGGAAACGAACCCGTAAGTTCAGCGTAACTGACACTTTAACCAGGAGGCTACCCCCGCCGCCTCTTTCCCTGACGTTCAAAAGGACTACTTTGTAGAGCTATCGCTGTCTAATGAATTGGCAGTTTTGCTTCAAAGTGTTGAAGAATCTTTCACTTATTATGTTACACGCTATTACATTTCACTCTGTTGGTTAATCCCAGAATGTCTGTTGCTGGTCTACTGCCCTTAGCCTGGAAGGTACCGGAAGTCGGGAGCTTGTGGGTAATGTACTGTGCGTAAAGCCCTGGAAGTGAATCATGTACAATATGGAAACAATCCATCACCACTGTTCTGACTACTAGAATTCCATGCCACTTAATAGGATAGAAAACATGCAGGAAACAGGAAAAAAGACCAAGTTGTTTATTTTGGTTGCAAGAATGAGATACGTTTGACATGCAAGAGAATAAAGGCGGGGAACACTGCAGGTTAACTGCAAATACTGAAGAAGCAGAGCTATGATATTCAGGTGGGGTCTGGAAATAATTTGTTTCCTACAAGAATAGACAAAATAGATTTGCCTCGAGTTTATAGAAACTACGACAAACTGTTTGTTGAACATGCCCGATATCCTGAAAAAAAATAATTACAAAAAAATAACATACCTTTGGATCCTCGTTTCAGAGAAAAAAAATGTGAATCACAATCTCCCCACCACCCAACCCTTCAAACTCCTCCCCCACCTGAATATTAACTAAACAATCCTCAACAGACACGTTCATGTACTCAAGATGCGGCAGTAAAATCTTAACTTTTTCTGTAAAAAAGGTTGATCTGAATCGAAGTCAAAGTCATCAGGCAATGCATTTCACTGTGGACAGTCTCCTCCAAGATGATATTACGATTACAACCTAACATTGAAAATGAAAGACAGGAAATTGAAGTTGGAGAGTTTAGGAACGTGGTGTTGCCCATCTAACGTTAGGGAAAATGAGATGAAGGAACCGCCGCCACGACCACTGAATCGCTTCACGGGTTATCTGGCCCACCCGAGTGATCTCCTTTTGCGTTTGTTCAGCAGTTAGGGGTTCAGTTCCAATTATCTCCCTTGGTACAGATCCCTGCTGAGTTTTCGTTTCACGTGACGGAGAAGGGTTTGGGGCCTGACGTCCGTTCGAGATGCCAAACGTGAATCCACCGACAGGTTGGCGTGGTTTGGGTGTGGTTGGAGCTTGTGTGGTCGGTCGGGACACTATGACCACGTTGGCGGAGTTCACGTAGTAGTAGCGGGTTTTGTCCTCCACGATGACTGACCTGCATGTAGAAGACATGGATTAAGATAATGGACCTTGTTCGCCTCGCTTCAGTTGTAGACCATAACAAAACATGAGTGAGTGAGTGAGTTTAGTTTTACGTCGCACTCAGAAATATTCCAGCTATATGGCGGCGGTCAGTACATAATCCGAGTCTGGACCAGACAATCCAGTGATGAACATCATGAACATCGATCTACACAACTGGGAACCGATGTCATGTGTCAACCAAGTCAGCGAGCATGACCACCCGATCCCGTTAGTCGCCTCTTACGACAAGCATGGGTTACTGAAGATCATATCTTACCCGGATCTTCACGGGTAATCAAACAAAGGCAATGCAACCGATCTGACGTACAGTGTGTTGTTTGTTGTTTAACGCCATAACGAGCATTGCATGCGATGTCAGGCATGAACCAAATCAGCGAGTCAGATCACTATGTCCCGTTAGTCTTTCACAAAACACAGAAACATCTAATAAATTGGGTTCCTGAAAACCAATGATTATCAGGATTTTCACGTGTGTCTCAATACAGACATATTTTGGATTTTCATTGAGGTTCTGATTCGACTGAATTTTTACAGTCTCGTTCTTGTTTAGAGGAACGATCGTGGCGCTACAGGAATCGCATACTCCGGCATCTGACTGCTTCCACATGGGTACCGCTACGTACTGAATATTGGAGTTCAAACTTTCAGGACTTCAACTTCCTGTTCCCGGGGGATGCTCCTCTGGAGCTTCTCTGTGTAACGTCAGCTCAGCGTGGACTGCAGTACGTCCATGTCAACGTACAGGAACTACGACAGCAGAAGCGCTTTGCATCAGAACTTGGAGCATGGCACCCGTTTAAGAGTTCACGTACCTGAATTGGATAATCGTCCCGGGATTGGCGTTTAAAGGTGCGACCCAGTCGAATGTTTTCCTCTTCTTTGCTATGCGACCGTCCATATGTGTTACACCGGATTTCTGATACAGAAGCAATTGACAAAATACATGCATTATTAATGTGTGATCTGGGTTTGACAGAATTTCATGTTAATCAGGGCGTGTCACGTTAAAGTCGGAAGAAAGTCAAAATGAGATAGTTTTGTTTTTTTTCTTCCACTTTGAAATGTTTTTACGGAAACGTATTCCAAAACAGGGAAGAATGTCTGGTGGAATTCAGCGAGAGATGCAGATACTTCTAGATCCTTCTTCCCATTATTGGTGAACCCAACGAGCTCTGGCAGGAGCTTGTGACTTGTCCTGAACATATTTTCAGGTGCATCTACAACATTGTGCAACAGTCTATTGTATTTCATTTTTGTGGTGCCAGGCACTTTTAAATATTTTTCACAAGCATAAAAAAGATTTTTGATAAAATCCCACGCCCGATTATCAAACAGTCGCTCCCTATGTGATGCAGCTCTACACAACAAATTTTACAGCAAATAGCTGGCCTCCTCAGTATAGACTTGAGAGAAAAGCAACAAAGCTTATTATGCTGGGTTCGGTTTGTTGTTTTACGCCGCACTCCCCAATATTCCAGCTATATGGCGGCAGTCTGTAAATAATCGAGTCTGGACTAGACAATCCAGTGATCAACAGCATGTGCATCAGTCTACGCAATTGGGATCCGATGACATGCAGCTAGCCTGACCACCCGATCCCGTTGGTCGTCTGTTACGACAAGCATGGGTTACTGAAGACCAATTCTAACCCGGATCTTGACGGGTAGCTTATTATGCATTCCCATGGGGATATCCTTGCCCCTATCACAATACAACACTTACGGCACACCTGTCGGCCATGTGGATGCCGGGGATGCTGACACCGATGGTGTTACCATTCCGAGTTTCGACCGTCTTCACTAAGAAACCTCTGAAGTCCTTTGATCCCTCGATGGTTACTGGGTAACAACAGAAATTCACGTAACTAAAATAAGTGCGTTTTGTGAACTATACAAGAATAACAATAACCGACTACGGCCATGTTGAAACTGAGCTTGGGGAGACAATATGGCTGCAAAATGGACAAAATGGCTTCGGAGTATAAATAGCATTTGTATTTGCACATGCAACAGAACATTCTCATGTGATCAGTGCCACGTTAAGGCGATCGTTATTCGCATACTTTCACGTAGAGTTACGATGACCGTAACGGGATATCTTGCAAAACAGGGCCAATGCTAGCTGTGAATCATACTACCAAAACGAACTATCGTAAATTGTTGATTTACACATGGTGCTTTACAGTTCCATGATAAATACGTTCACATCTGCTTCACATCTCATCTTGTACCAATGTAGCGAATGAAACATACAAGTGGTGATTGTTGTGCCCCCCCCCCCCCTCTCCACACACACACACACACACACACACACACACACACACACACACACACACACACACACACACACACACACACACACACACACACACACACACACACACACACACACACACACACACACACACACACACCTAAAGCCAGCTATTCAACACGCATATTCTCAAGCCAATTATGAAAAATTTGAGAGGTGTGATTTTATCCCAATTTTGTGACACAATTTTGTCATGTTGATAAGATGAAAAGGAGTTGATGGATAATAGAAAAGTATAATACTTTATAGATAACACCTTCTTTATTTTCATGAACAAGAAATAAAGAAGTTGTTATCCATAACGCATTATACCTTTCTATGAATATTTATCATCTAAAACATTTATTAACACGTTTCCTTGTTATGCGTTATTAGTTATCTAGTTTAAATGTGAAAAAGGACTTGACATGTGCGTGTTTTCTTTGTATTGTGACACTCTTGTCAGAGCATGCTGTGGTGGCATTTTTATTGCCTTGGCATATTCTTTCTGTTTAATGATATATTACAAATTTTAACGTTACGGTATATACACGTATACGCAACAATATAAACAGAGCTCCAATAAGGAATGAACAGAATATATAGCTACAATTGTTACTGGGTATCTGTAGGTTGTGCAATGCTTCTACACCCACTGAATCTGTTTCAGTGATAAATCTCTATGGCGTTAAAGTTATATTAGATATTAGAAAAATAAACATCAAACAATACCCTAGGCTTTTCACTAGACGGCATTTTGGGTTTCCCTCCTCCCACGTGTAAATGAAATTCCCATTTGTGCCCCCTCTCAAAATGATTATACGCATTTCTTTTAATGTGTCCCTCTCACATGTCATACACTTCTCTCTAAATGTGCCCGTAGCCCAGTGTCAATACATTCTCTTTGAATGTGCCCCTCTCACATCTCACACTTCCCTCTAAATGTGCCCCCAGCCCAGTGTCAATACACTTCTCTTTGAATGTGCCCCTCTCACATCTCATACACTTCCCTCTAAATGTGCCCCCAGCCCAGTATCAATACACTTCCCTTTGAATGTGCCCCTCTCACATGTCATACACGTGACTCTAAATGTGACCCAGCCCAGTGGAACTGCACTTCCCTTTAAATGTGCAGCTCTCACATGTCATACACTTCCTTCTAAATGTGCCCCCAGCCCATGTCAATACATTTCTCTTTGAATATGCCCCTCTCACATCCCATACACTTCCCTCTAAATGTGCCCCCAGCCCAGTGTAAATACACTTCCCTTTGAATGTGCCCCTCTCACATGTCATACACGTGACTCTAAATGTGACCCAGCCCAGTGGAAATGCACTTCCCTTTAAATGTGCAGCTCTCATATGTCATACACTTCCCTCTAAATGTGCCCCCAGTCCAGTGTCAATACATTTCTCTTTGAATGTGTCAGTGCCGTACCTTTGATCATGTCTCCTGGGTGCACAGTCAGCTTGCTGACGATAAGGTTGTAGGGTTTTTCGTGTTTCACCTCTATTCCGTGCCCTGGAACTAGTCCCTTGCAGGACATCTCATTGGCTCCCTGGGGGAAGGCAGCATCCCTTCCCAGCATCCCTAGCAGCACCAGCAGGGAGCAGATACCGGAAGTGAACGTCATTGCTGGACTCGGCTGGAAACTCTCCTTGGAACTGAAATAGAACTGTACATCCTCAAATACTACCGATAACATGTTACTCACAGGTTAAAACTCCCATGCAATACCGTCATCTGTTTATGTGATGATCTTCCTTATCAACATTGCTGCGGTTTATGCCCTTGGGTAATAAAATATGGCCATGAAGGACTTCAGCGATTCTACATCAACCTCTTTACTTATATCCACATAAAACATACTTAAACTGTAATAACATTTACTGCTTCGGTTTTGTTTTTGATGTGCCGGACATTGTGTATTTTCTATGTGAAATAAGATAACGAATCCCTTTACGTATACATGACTTTGTCACCGTACGATATACCGTATACATATGTTTAAGAATCACCAAAACATGAAATTGGTTGTAACCTGGGCACCGTTCCTCAAAGCGATCGTAACGTTACGACAGTCGTACGTCTATGTTAAAGCATGGGGGTTACGATCATCTTAGCGCTACGATCGCTTTGTGGAACGGGGCCCTGGCCCGTAACGTACGCCTTAATTACACGGTTTGGTTTTGTACCGTCGAAACCTTGGCGAAATTTTGATTGCCTTTCAAAAACATTGCCAATTTTCTGAGTCAGTCATTCAATACACATGTGTATTGCTGAGTAGATGTGTGTTGAAACATTTACTTCAATTTTCTGTGAATAGATACATATTCTATTTTACTCCAAATTTGCAAATCATGAGCGACTTTGACAATTGTACAACTTTACGCAACATAATTATATCAAATTTTCTAAAACTACATTTAACCGGATCCAAATACCCATGTGAAATAGATGAAATATACTCATTATCTGTTAATCTGAAAAGACGTCAACACCTTCTTACTTCGTTACTTTAGAGGTGTTTAACTAGCCAATTGTGTCAAAAAAATACTACCCAAGAAAACCAAGATGGTCATAATCTAAAACCCCAATCACCAAACATTCATTTGAATTTGAATATAATATAACTGCACAATGCTTGAATATATTTGTTAGTAATTTTATCTCCAGCTATCTGTGCCATCTACACAAAAGCAAACAAATATCTAAATATAGTAACATGTTGTGTATAATGGAGATGGTCTTCGTAAATTCAGTTTTACACCTGCACCCTGCACTACGAACAAGTGAACAAGATAGCTGCCATACAATGGAGATCGGACACATTTGCCATAAACTACTTCGAGAGATGTTTGTAAGCACTTATGTAAACACTTTAAAAGCCAACTGGTGGATTATTTTCTCTATATTGCCAAATCCACTGACCCCCCAAATTTCAGATGTGTACTTTAAAATCTGACAGATCTGACAATCAAATGATAATGGCAATCAAATTTACTTTACACCTTGCCCTTATGGTACTGTATTTCTTTAAGCGATAAGTTTTCTCCAGTTCTAAAAACAACATTAACCTTCACAAATGTCGTTCCCCATTTATCTGTAATAAGAACCTAGCACATATATCTGGCGATGTAAACTACAGAGTCTGAAACTAGAATTACATCACTAGCAAATAACGACAGTAATACGTTTACAATACCAGTAAACAGTTGAATGTCGCGAGCTCCATATGTTTGCGGCTAACTCTGTTATGAACAGTGATTGTTGTTGTTTTATCTTATCCTTAAAAACATTGCCCAATGAGTCAGTCATTCAATAGACATGTGTATTGCTGAGTAGATGTGTGTTGAAACATTTACTTCAATTTTCATATGAATATATAGATATTATTTTGACTACAAATTTTGCAAATCATGAGCGACTTTAACAATTGTACAACTTTACGCAACATATATCAAATTATCTAAAACTTACATTTAACCGGATCCAACTACCCATGTTGATATACACTTACCCTTGACACATAGGCCCTAAACAATATGTTAAAAATGAATCAACTAAAGTCGAGAATAAAAATAAGCATTTTTCGCTGCTCCGTTTTATTTTGTATTTCATAAACACATATTTCTAAATTTGATAACTCTGTTTCTTAATTTATTGGTCACTCTACCCTTTTGCTTTCTGGATTAAATACATTTGTTTGTTAATTTTGCTGATAATCTCAATTCGCTTGCTGCGTGATCTATGTACAAATACGCAGCAAAGGGCTCAAATTTAAGGAGCGTGTTTTCCAGCAGTTTTTTCGTCTCGCCCTAATTACGCATGTACATGTATTCAGGCAGCTGTGACACTATGCACCGCTCCCTGTGACGTAGTGAGGGTAATTAGTCTTCAAGATAAACGTACCGGGACGTAGATTTTGTTTGCGATTTAAATCTGACCGTGTACGTGTTCTGTGTTTGCAAAGACTATGTGTTGTGTATTCACAAATGCTCTTATGCATATAATTTGCACTGGTTTGGGAGAGGTTAAAGGTATATCATTAATGTTCCGACTGCTAATAAACTCTTAGTAGCTGAGATTCTAATGCCCGGGTATATTAATCATAACCAGCCTCGGGCTAAGAAATCAAAGCTATTTTTTTCTGAAAACAAAATTGGATCTTTATTTCTCGACAAAACTTTCAATTATTATTTTTTTAATTCCCTAAGCGGGTTAAAAAATATACGGTACTGATTATCTATTAATTCATTAGCTCGAAAGGGATATTATTTTCTGTCTATTCATTGCGAGCGTTGTCACTTCCTTCTTTGATTGGTGTGGCGAAACCCGGTGACATGTGTCAAGTATCAGTAATAACGAATGATATCCTCTGGATCTGAAGTTGGTTTGACAGCAATGCTATGCAGTGAAATTATGGTTGTGAACAATTATTTGAGCATTATCTTTGATAGCCTAATGGCGTGTTCAATTTACCTCGTTTCTTCTGCACGTGCATCGCCCTTTAACACTATTTTTGATATGCAAATGTAATAATATTCGTTCTAATAATAATGGTTGCTTTTATAACACATTTTAACCAGTATGTCGAAATTGTATTTTATAACGCTATCAAACAGCAAAGATTTTTAAACAAGTTCAAGTAAGTATTTCTTTGAAAAAGTCAGAGATATGTCTTTCTGTATTTTGTATAGCAAAATCAAAATAATTACATAGCCAGATGGTGATCAATTGATATACATAATCTTTAAATGAATACACTGCTAAGTAACTCTTACCTGTTGTGTGGGTCTTCCTGGTTGTGGGTGTATAATCCGCGGGTCAGGGTCTGTTTGTCGGGTCCCTCCCTCCGCTAGTGTGAAGCGCGTTTGGTAATGTGAAAACGACGCATGTCTGCTGTCATAAGAATTACTTACCTGTCTACCTGTCACGTGCCCCCAGCAGTGTTCAGCCAGGCGCGGCCAGTGTTTAGGTCCTCGGGCGACACGGACAACCGTTTAATAAATGGTGATAATTAAACTCGCTATTTTTTAAATGATTACAATGTTTAAAACGTGTTTCTGCTACACGACACCCCCTTCACTCCCCTTACTGTGTTGCAAAACGAATATATTTCTGAAACGTACTCTTTACTTGTACTTAACTTAATCTCTGCACTTGTACTTTTTGTGTGTTTGTACTTAGCATGATTTGTGTGATTGTACATAGGATGATTTGTGTACTTGAACTTAGCATGATCTGTGTGCTTGTACTTAAGATGATTTGTGTACTTGAACTTAGCATGATTTGTGTGCTTGTACTTAGCATGATTTGTGTGCTTGTACTTAGCATGATTTGTGTGCTTGTACTTAGGATGATTTGTGTGCTTACTTCAACTTCTAGCATGATTTGTGTGCTTGTACTTAAGGTGATTTGCACTACTTAATTTGACTTAGATGATTTGTGTGCTTTTACTTAGCATGATTTGTGTGCTTGTGTTTGTAGATGATAGGATCTTTGTACTTGTTTGCATTTGGATGATTCGATGTGCTTGTACTTAGGATGATTTGTGTACTTCAACTTAGCATGATCTGTGTGCTTGTACTTAAGATGATTTGTGTGCTTGTACTTATAGGATGATTGTGTGTACTTTGGATAATTTGTACTTAAGATGATTTGTGTGGACTTGTACTTAAGATGATTTGTGTGCTTTTACTTAGGGTGATGTGTGTGTTTGTACTTGATAGGATCTTTGTACTTGTACTTTCGATGATTTGTGTGCTTGTACTGAGGATGATTTGTGTATTTCAACTTAGCATGATTTGTGTGCTTGTACTTAAGATGATTTGTGTGCTTGTACTTAAGATGATCTGTGTACTTTTACTTAGGGTGATGTGTGTGTTTGTACTTAACAGGATCTTTGTACTTGTACTTTGGATGATTGTGCTTGTACTTTGGATGATTTGTGTGTTTGTAGTTAGCATCCACGCCGCCTTTGGTCTTAAGCCCAGCTCGTTGCTCTCTTTTCTTTTCAAGCAGGTCATCGAGTGTCGTCTATTTCTTTTTCTTCCTTGGTGTCTCTCTCCCTCTCCAAATACTAAATGGCTCATAGGTATACCGCTTTGGCCTTTTGATGTCCAATTCTGTAGTCGATATCATTCTACGTGCTTTGTGGTGCAGAGTCTCTCAATATTACATGGGCTTTCTTTATCGAATTTAGATTCTAAGAATATAGATATGTTCAGACACAAATGCTAATTAGGTGCTTGGTGGATAGGCATGGGGTTAAAAAAGTCATGAAAAGACAGTTGCATTTAAACAATGAGAGAAAACCGTAGCTCCGCACAGTGTTAAGGTCAACAGTAAGGAGTGCCCTAGGGTACACCGTAGGGTGATATGGTTATCAGTGTTCTACAACACGGCATGCACCAGCTTCCTGGAGCAACACGGAAGTAATGACATAATACTGTACATGCCCACAGCACGGTCAGGACACGTTGGAAATGAAGCTACCTTTTCAGTAATAAGACATATGACCATTAGCAACAATTTACATCCGAGAGTGAGTGAGAGAGCCCTGAAAAGTCTTGTGGATTTGGATTGACCTCTTGTCTTCTTCACAGAATAATACGAGTCATTATCTTTACTGTTCGGAATTTGTTTACTTTAATAATAATTGATTTGTACAACGTAGGGCTACACAGTATTACCGGTATACCGGTTAACCGCAATACGAAATTGTAACAATTACGTATCGCGATACGTTTATGACGTACCGGTATACCGCCAAAGATTTATTTGTTCAATTTTAACCCATTCAACAACGCACATAAGACTTCCGCCCGTATACCCCCTAAATTTTAATGGTGAGGAAAAAGATGTATATGTATATTCAGGTAATATGGGGGGTGGGGATTGGGCGGAAGACTTTCCAAATGATTGGCAACGGGTCCACTTAATAATTGTCAAAGAGCAAAGTATGGACGTTTCGAGGAAATCATTAAAATTGAATAAACTAATGAATAAAATCAACAGTTTTCATAAAAGTTGTCAAACGTCTCGGCTTTCGTCACCTTTTCGTTCGTCATGTTATGTAAGTCAAGTCACGTCTCGATCTTCATGCTCGGACACGATGTTTAATGTGAAAATAGTTGCATAAAGAATATTTGTCACAGGTCGCCACTTAGCACGATACGTCCAATAAGTTCCATAATGTACGTATATATTGCGATTTGTTGCTTAACACGTTCAGAATAGCATTATTGTACCCAAAACTTTTGTCTAAAAGTTTTCGTTTATGAGGACGGTATCGATTGTTGTAATATGATTTTTACCAATCACGAACCTTATAGCAGACTGTGGCTAAAAAGCGTCATTAGAAACCAATCTTTATCCACTAAAATCGCTTCTTACAATTACGAAAATACTCCTGGCAAGGTTATTGTGATATTATTGATGATTAGAGAGCTTTGGAACAATACCCGCCATCAAATGAATCTTCTATGGTGTTGTTCATACGGAGCTTCGAAAACGAAGGCATTTCCCAAAGTTGTGTCATGTTACCGGGTGGAAAAGCCACGGTTATCGGGAAATAGGCGACCATACACATTATTTAATTAATCTTTATTTAATGATATTCTGATTACGTAAAAATGAAAATATAAAAGAAATAGGTAAGAGGATATTATGGCAACTTACAAATGGATTTAAATAGCGGGAGTTTACGACTCCTTCGTGGTTTATATGGACATTTTAAGTGTGTAAATATGTATTACTATTAGAAATAAATTTATTTAAGTTGAAGTTGTATTATTTGAATAATATGATAAACATACCTTTGGTATTTATCAACAGTTGGATTAGGCCTAAAAAATTGAAATGGTGTATGACATAGCAATAATGTTTCACGAGCTGATATTTTCCTTGATAAACGTAGGCTTCTATCTTATTATAAGGTTATGTTTCTCATGTTTCATCTTTTTTCATTATTCTATTTAGTCTAAAGAAAGTGTTCTTTACCTGATACAGACTGACTTTTGTCCATCGTGAGTGTTTTATTAAATCATTTCTTCATGTGAATGTGCACCAAACATCATTCATGAAATAGTAATGTTAATAATACTTTTATTCAAAGACAAAGGTGCATTAATCATCGTTTTAATTAGAATGTGCACTTCAAGATCATGTCACATGATTGTGACTTCAATTAATTTTTTCTTGAGTAATACAGATGTGTACAGTAAATTCTTTAACTCTTTGAATTATTTGAAATTCAACATCCTTTGCTGTTTAAAGAAGTTAAAGTATATACATAGTATGGGTGGGTCGATGGAGGACATGGTGTAAGCTAGTTTCAGTTGAATTTGTCATATATATGAAATGATAAATCATCCATTTATCTGCGTTAACTTTCCTTTGGACAGCAGTTACAATTAAAAGAAACACTTGTTGAAAGTTTTTTTATAGTAAAGCGTAGGGCTAGTAATATTTAGAAAGGACTAGTGAAATACAAAATCCACTAGCCCGAAGGGCCAATTTAAATTTTTAGTGAGTGTCGATCCCTGCTGTTTTAAAATAAAAATATAAACAGAAGAATGTTCTGGATTTTCCTTTTTTCATTTTGAAAGAAGCTATACAATGCACAATGGTTACGCACATATACTGTGATTCAATTTGAAGGTAAAAGAATATTACCTAGTGGACAGATCTCAATAACTGTTCTTTCACAATATATTGCAATACGTATCGCAGAAGAGTGTATCGCAATACGAAATTTGGGGCAATACACAGCCCTAGTACAACGTACCTTAACGGGTTGCATTTACTGAACGTGTTTCTTTAGGTGTAATCTGTGCATTATACACAACAGAAGTAAATTAGCATATTTTTTTTATGTTATTTTTTTCAACACCTAATTCAATGCGCCTATCGTGTGAGGTCAGTAAGATATTTGACAAGATTAGATAAATATCGTCTATATCTTGCCGAAGGATATGCCAACTCTGTCTGCATAAATATGGGTTAATACAAGATGGCTCACCTGTTATTGGGGCCATGATCGTACGGTCAGATACATGGAGATATCTGGAATATTTGGTATGCATACGTGACGCCTTGACATACATTTTGTACAACAGATTGTACAGCGTCCAGCGAGTTTCGTTTGAATATCTGTACAAAATGTTGATCAATGATGCAATTTCTTCTCTCTGATTCATATATGATGAGGAAATAACTGCAATCAATATACCTGGTGTGTTGATGTATCATTACGTACTGATGGGGCCTGTGATCCGTCAACTGTCTAGTGATATAAATTCCTCTTGGCCAATTTGCGTACCATCTCTCTCGCTATAAAGTGAACGTTCTTGATAGTCAACAGAAACATTTCGCGTTATTGTTCAACTTTCTCGCAGCATTGGGTTGGGGAAAGTAAACATGGATAGAAAGGGTGAATATTGCAGAATACTTAACCATCTTCACTTACGCAATTAAACTAGGTGTATGTTATGGAAATGTTGAGGACTTCCTCTGAATCAATCAATCATTATCTATCGACATAACTTGAGGATGAGTTAGGTTAAATAATCCTCAGTGGCACCCAATACTAGCTCTCAAATTCAATTTTAATATCCGCTAGTTTTTCATATTTTAACAATCAATAATCATTATAAAAAAAGAAGAAATACGAAATATTACTGAAGGAGCTATACCAACGAGACTTAATCACATCCTCTCCAAATCATCTATGGAACTGCAACTCATCGAGCAGAGTTTTGTCCCTTAGACGGGCCTGGATACTATCATCGTGGTTTCAAATCCAATATTACTCTTTGATTATGTATCTCTAATTTTGTCAGTGCCTTACCCGTGCTCGCAGATTTCAACAAAAAGTTATACGTAACATATGTTATATTTGGGATTACACTTTCTTAGTAAAGTACAGATTGTAGTACT